TTTTACCATATAAATTTATCGATTTTATCGTATTAAAAAAAAAAAAAAAAAAAATTTAATTCGAATTTCTTTTTTATAAATTATTAATGTTTTATTATCTTTACATGTTTGTAAAATGATTTTTTTGCTTCTATTTTCAAAAAGAATTTGAAATACACTTTTAAATATCAAAATTAAAAGTTTCAAAAATTAAAAAAAACAATCATCATTATTTATAATATCGGGAGAAAAGTTTTTCAGCAATTTCGGATAAATCACATTCTTCTTCATCTCGTAAATCATAAACAGCACATTGACCTTGATCAACTTTTCTTCGAAATAAATAACGAATATCATTGGAATCTTCTTTTCCAATACGAATAGTATCAATAAATCCCGAATCCTGATCCGATTCAGGAATTGTACGATGATAATCATCAGTTGATAAAAATGGTTGACAATCTTGAAGACAATCATCAATAGTTGTATATGTATCCGTTTTATCCAATAATTTTTTCTTATTTTCAAGATAAATTTTGATTAAATTATTATTTTTTCCAAATTCTGTTCCATTGATATATTCTCGTGTACCATCATCCATAATGGCTAGATATTGGATAGTTATTCCATGTAAACGTTCATCACAAATCATTTTAATATTTTTTAATTTGTATTTAGAATTTTCAGCCATTTTTTTGAGATTTGAGATAAACCAGACAATGAACTGATGAATTGCAAATAACAAAATGAACTCATAAATGAGTTTTGAACATTGAAAAAAAACTCCTTTCATATTATTCGAAATTATTTTTACTCATTTAGATCACTACTGTTTAAATAGCAATTTATTTTTTTAAAAAATTTTTACAAACGTTATGGCATTTATTTATTCGTTTTTTTTTTGATGATGATAATGAGCAAAATTTAAATGAATATAACACAGAATAGTGAAAGAAAAAAATAAGCAAAAATCACATGATTTATGCGAACCAAATGCGAAAAATTTAAGTGAAAATTGTTCGTGTTGAATATAAAGGTCGACCAACTCTTGGTGATGATAATGGTGATGAAGATCTGGATCGATTTTGTTCATTTGGTGAACGCATCATTGTGGACGATTGAGTAGCGGCAAAAGGAGTTTGTTGTTGTTGTTGTGATCCAAAAATCGAAAATGAATGTCCAGATGTTGTTGTTGGTGTACAATTATAATCGATGACTATTTAAAAAAAAAAAATTTTAATCAAAATTTTATAAATATTTTTATTTACAAAACAAACTTACCTCTTTTAGGTGTTGTTTGTTGTAATAAAGGTGATGATGATGATGATGATGAATCAAGATAAATTATTTTCTGCTGTTGTTGTTGATCAAGTATAAATTTTTTTCCAATAACATAAATAGCAAATGCTAAAATTATTGTCATAATTAATAATGAAAATTTATAAAATGTTTCTAATGTTGTATTTGAGTAACCGTTTAGTAATTGTCCGGATAGATTATTTACACCGAATATTGTTGATCGTTCAAATAATTTTAATTGTATGGGTATTTTTTCCGTTTGATTTATTAATGATGAATAAAGTATTAGATGAAGATTGTAAACATCATTGGAAAAAATATCCGAATTTTTTAACGAAACAATAATGCGCATTGAATTGGAAAATAATGATGGTTGATCATCATCATTTTGTTCATTGTTGATCATTTGTTTTTGTATTGAAATAATATCATCATTTGATGATTTTATAATAATATCTTCTAAAACATTTAAAACTGAATGAACAATAAAACGAGCATCACGTGATTCAGATGTTAATAATATTTGTTTTATATTGGTTCGAAATTCTGGATAAAATGGAATTTGTATTTGATGAAATAGACCAAATGAATTGAAAAGTTGTTGTTGTTCAATTTGTTTATTATCATTATGATGATGATGATGATCGGTTGATAGAATTGTATCGACTAATGTTGTTACAACAACAGTTATAGTTACATTACGATTTGGCCATAATGATAATGAATCTAAATCAAGATTTTTTTTAGTTGTTATTAAACAACACCAACAACCATATTGTATATTATATTGAATTTCAATATTCCAAAGTGAATCAATATATCCACCATCTGAAAATGAAATATCACAAGTAAATGGTATAAGTGGTTCAATATTGGTAAATGTTTTTGAATCTATTCCCGAACAACCAGAATTTGTTTGTTTTGATGATGATGATAAACCAGAAACATTAATAGGAATAATATATTTTGAAGTAGTACTTAGACCATTCAGACCATCTGAATTTAATAAAACTTGTTTGATTGGTAAAATTTGTATAGGACGATATGTTGAAATTCCAGTTAAAGAATGATTATAAACAATAGTACCTTTACCCGGACTAAGTGCTAATAATGAACCAATTCTAGGATTTATCCAACCAATCGGTATTAATGAATCTTGTTGATCTAAATTCCAAAAACCATTCTGTTGTTGTTGATCTTCATATCTGGTTCGCATACAAATTACATCACCAACTTGTAATTGTATGATTGATGATGAATCATCAATAGGTAATGCATCAATCATTGTTGTTGTTGTTGTTATAGCAAAATCGACAATAATTTTATAATATTGTTCAACATGATTAACATCATCCCAAATTTTTAAAATAACTGAACCAGATTTAAGTGAACGAATACGAATTGATTGTGCAGAATCATCTGGTGATTCTATTATAGCAATAATATCATTTCTTGACATTAACCATTTTAGATTTGATTTTACTGAATCAAATTTCCTTCCCAATTGATTATAAAAATGTATAACCATTAATATTTCTGATCCAATTGGAAATGATGATGCTAAATTAATTAATGTTGTTGTTTGCATATGTTCCATAGGATATTGTAATGGATCCAGATCCATTGATAGATATCGAACTTTATCTACATGTATAATATTAGTAAAATAATCCATAATACTAGTTCGATGTAAATCACGTTCAATAATCAATGTTGCAAATTCTAATTGATTACCAGCTTGTAACATTAGATTACCAGTTTTATTAATCAATTTTATATGTGATGATTCATTCCATATACGATAATCAATATTATCCATTGAATTTTGATGTATTAATAATTCAGATTGTGGTGACATAAGTAATGCACGACCAGTTAATTGTTTGTTTGGTTGATCTTTAATATTTGTAAATGAATCCATTGGTGATGATACTGATAAAACATATTCAGGATAAACTTGTATCTGTATTGAATTTGTTAATGGTCGATTACGAACAATTTGTTCGAAAAGAGGATCACGTGATGTTGATGTTACTTCAACCATAACTTTTAACATAACTGTTCCGATTGAATGTGCCGTAAAACGTATAGCAATTTCATTCGAATCATAAATACCAACTTTTTGAAATGAATTTTCTAATGTACCAATTTTTTCATTCGAAAGTGACCAACTTATTTTCAGCGATGGTTGTGAATGACCAAACATAAATGGATTTTCATGTTCATCCGAATTTCCAATCAAATAAATCGGTATTGAAGAACCAACAATAACCTGATTGATTGGTGTCCAAATTTGAATTTTTTTCAACGGAGTAACATAAATTTCAGCTTGAGCACTTGAATATTCATAATTATCAATACTGGTTACACGAGCAGTTAAACGAGTTTTACCATTTTTCAATGCTTTTATTAAACCATTTGGACCATAAACTATTGGCGTTGTAATTGCTATATTTGAATCTTCTAATTCAAATTCAATATTTTTTTGTGTTTGTGGTCCACCAATAAATTGTGGTTGAAATACATTACCAACAATTAATGTAATATTATTTGGTATAATTCGAAGTGGTGAAAATATTTGTAATTCAATTTCGGCTAACAATGGTGAACGAATTTTTGATGATTGTGTTTGTATCAATAATTTACATAAACCTAAACGTTCTGCACGTACAGTAAATATTGATAAATAATTATCTTTTGGTTTGATTTCATCAATTTTCAATAAATTATTCGAACTTGTAATAACTAAATCAAGATATTTATGTAATGAAGAATCAATACGATTTCCACGATTATCAACAATATAAAATGATCCTTGAACCGAACGACCAAGTTCAATTTTATCCATCATTTGTATTTTAATATCAATCGGTTCAACAATTGAATATGGTAACATAAATGTTGGATAATTAAGACAAAGATCATTGATAATAATCATACCAGTACCAATTTGAATAGGTGTAATAATAAATTTACGTTTATCATCTTCAGCAAATTCAATTTTTATATTTTGTTTTTCCATCCAATCAATAGTAAAATGTCCAGAACCTTTTTCAATGGTCAATATTTTTTTATAATCTAAATGTTTTAATATGGTAATACTTTCTTCGGTTACTGTTAATGGATCTAAAAAAATTAATTCAATTTCTCTTCGAATATCAAATTGATCGGAAAAATGTCTACGTTGTTGTTGTTGTTGTTGATAACCAATAATACGACAACGAATTCGTATAGTTTTTAATGAATCAGGAATTCGTGAAAATATTTGATATGATCTGGTTAGAACAAAAAAACCACGTGCACCATTCACTTCTTCAAGAACACGATTACTTTCTTCGAATATACCATCCGATAAATCTTTTGACCATTCAAAATAAAGTGTTGAAAAATTATAGAATGAATTTCCTTGTTGATCGAAAACATTAATTTCTAATTCATGTGAACGATTTTTTTCCAATGAAAATTGTACATCTTGATTTGGACATGTTGATTTGGATTTTGGTTTAATGATTAATGTTTCCGGACGTGAACATTTAATATGAACCGTTGTTATTGTTGATGCTGGATTCAATAAAGTTGGTGATACAATATTTCCAACTTTAAATTCAATTTCTGTTTCACCATATTCATTACAAAATGCACGAAAAATATGCAGATCTTTATTATAACGATATCGATCACGTATTTCTATTAATTCTAAAATTGAATTATTAATTGAAATAGCTTTAATATAATGTCCTTCAGGATACATTGACCATGGACGTGGTCCACCTTCAAATGCTAAATCAATACCGGCACCAAGTGAAAGAATAATCATTTGATCTTTTACAGGATGAATCATTTTCAATGGTTTATAACAACCAATTATAGCATGTGTAGAAATTTCTTGATCTAAATGTTTATAACTAATTGTTATACGTGTATTACCCGATTGAATACATTCAAATGATAATGAACGACATGATTTATGTCCAGTACCCGGTATAAATTGATCATGATTATAATGGATACGATTTTTTTCAACAATATCAACATTGAACATAATTTTCGAACAATCATCAAAATAATATTTTTTATCATTTTTAAATCCAATAACAGCAATTGGTAGTAGAATTTCACCACCAATATGTGTTTCAACGATTGATGGTAAAATTTCCAATGCATCGATTGGAAGAACTTGAATCAACATTTTTGAATTAAATATTAATGAATTATGTATATCATTACAAATAATCCAAACATCACCTAATGATGATTGACGATGAATAGTTGCACGAGTGGATTTATGTGATGAAAATTTTACAATAGCTAATGATTCATCAGTAGATTGCCAACTATATTCACTACCAGTTGCACCGGTAGCTTCAACATGTACAGTATAAATTGATTGTGATTTTGATGATAAAGAATCATTATTAGAAGTAGGAAGCCATGGTAAATAGATTTCTTTCGGTGATAATGTAATTGGTGGATAAATTTGTACATCTTGTTGATGAATTAATGATTCAACAAGACGATAATCACCTGCACCATGAAAATAAGCCAATAATTTTGTCATGCCAATTTTTTCTTTAGTACGAATACGATAAATAGTTTTGTTCAAAGTATGTTCAAGAATTTCGAAAAATTTATCATCATCATCTTCCATTTGTAATTCAAAATTAAAATTATCCGATGGATGTAAAAGATTATGTGAATTATCATATAATGATAATTGAAGTTGATATTCAAAATCGGTAACTAATTGAAAACGATCACCTGGTTCGATTGACATTAAAATATAACTTGGTTGCATAACATGAATATCTGTTCGTGTTCGGCTAAATAATACATCTTCAGATGATGATGATGATGATGATGAATCATTACTTGAAATCATATTACGATCTTTTAAAACTAATGTTGTATGACCTTCATTTAATGCTGTAAGTATATTAGTTTCTTCATCAAATGTAGCAATATTTGAATCATATACTTCAAGATAATATTGTTGATTTGGAAATTGTAATGATACACGTGGACCTTGTTTAGAAATTTCAGCTCTAAAATGTATAGTAGCACCAGGAACAATAAAAACATCATTTGATGGAAGTAATAAAAGATTGGCAACAACATGTATATTAATTTCGGCTGGTTTAACTTTGTTGATAAATTCATTATCACTGATAAGTGTGGCACGAATTTTCGCTGAACCAGTTTTTACACCTTCAACTAAAATCATTGAACTTTTTCGACCACGTGTTTCCCAATATTCAACAAAATCTGGTGCTGCATACGATGATGTTGACCAAGGACGATATCGTATAACATCGGTTGGAATTAAAGTCCAATCAAATGAAACTCCACCAATAGATGTAAACATATCATTTTTATCGGAATAGGCAAATATTCGTATAGTTTCGGGCAGTTCACCATAAACAATTTCTTTTGTTGTTGTTTGAATGGCAATTCTTGAAATAGCATCCACTTCAACATCACAACGAATTTGTAGATTAGTTTTGAGATCATGTGCAGTAATCACTGTAGATTGATGTTTTGGTATTCTTGAAACTACAGTGACCAAGGCACGTTTCGAACAAGATTGAGTTATGGCGGTGGCTGTTGATGATGTGATTGGATCTAACAATAATTTCACTGATGCAATATCCGATCGTGAACTAGACCATTTATAACAAGAATTTTCATCGCCAAAAGTTTCCAATGTAAAATTTGTCGGCACTCCATCATTATACGGTAACAATATTCGTCGTTCATTTATTTTATCGGTTATGCAGAAAATTTGAATTATCAAACAGAATATGATTGTCAAACGAATCATGTTGTTTTTTTTTGTTGTTGATTGATTGATTGACAGATCAAAACATAGCTATGATTTGTTAATTAATTCAATTTTATTATTTGATTGCCAATGGCAGTGAATTGTAAAATTTGTAAAAATTTTTTATTTGTTCAAAAAATGAAAATGAAAACAAAAAAAAAATTCAGATTAATATAACCGGTTAAAAATTTGACATAGCATGGTTGATGAATAACACATAAAAGCATGGCAGTAATGGCTTCAATAACATTTTTGAACTATATCAATGAACACAAATGATTGAAGCTATGGCCATTTGTATTTTTTACGTAATAACCATTCACAAACAAAGTGATGATTTGGCATTCAAAAATGAATTCATTCGAAAATTGAGCAAATTGAATAAAAATGAATAATGTGCATCGGGAAAAAAAAGTGAAAATTTTTATTTTCATTTCATTTTCATTACATTTTAGCTAAATTAACAATCATTATCAATTAGCCGGTTTTTGCTTATAAACAGGATCACGTTCATAAGCTCGACCATATATTGATAATGTTGATAATAATCGATATGTTTTATCGAATGAATCGGAAGATAAATTACCGAAAACAAGTTCATGAATTTTTTTTGTATCTTGAATTTTGCTTGAAAATGTCCATACATTATTCATAGGTATCAAACGATTTTCATATTCCAAAACGCTTGGATAAGCAACAGTTTTTGAATCAAAAATTGCTGTCAATTTAACATGATTAAATATTTTCAATTGATTTGTTGAATATTTTTCACATGTTCCATCGATATTTTTAATACAATAAACAAGTGCACAGAATTCTTCACCCCATTCATATGATGGATTTGCCCGTGAACGATTCGAACCGATAAGAAAATATTGTCCATCTAAAAGAAAAACAATCAATCGAAAGAAAACCCCAATGCAAAAAAAAAACAAAAAGAATTTCCTGTTCAACTAACCTGATGTTAATTGATTTAAATTTGCTTCAAATTTTAAATGACATTTTACTCCTTCATGTTCTAATTCGATTTCTTTTTGTCCAATTTCCAATGCTTTCATAATAACATTTGTATTGTTCATTTGTTTATAGTGATAAGTACCATTAACAATTTCACGACCATCAACAGGTATTAAAATAATTTCATCTTTATATCTATTACATTGAGCTCTTGTTGTTGAACGTGGATGAATTGGTAAACGTGAAATTACTAATCGTTCAGCATCATCTTTAGGGAAATGAGCATTAAGAAAGGTTCGTTCCGATCCACCATTATAAATACCACTTCCAAGTGAACCAGCCTAATTGAATTATTATAAAAATAAAAATGCATTATGTCATCATTATGTTTTAATGTTCGTTTTACTTGGAATGGATGATGAATATTCGATGCCAATAGGTTAACATTATTGCCAAAAGACCAGGCCATTTGAATTTGTGATGCCGAAAGAAATGGTACTTCATCCATCCAATGTGTTGGAAAAATTATTGTATCAACATTATATTCAGTTGCTAAAATATGTCCAGGTTTTTTATAAATTATATCAAAACATATTTGAAAACCAAATCTTCCCAATGAAGTATCAATATAGATTAATTCATCATGTTGAGCTGGATCAAGATCCATTTCACCATATGGTTGCATTTTATGATATTTAGCAATCAATTGACCAGTACGATCAAACATAATAGCCGTATTGAATATATAATAACCATCTCTACATTCGGTAGTTTCATTTTTATAACATGGTTGTTTATCAAGCATTTGTGCAACAATAAATATTTCATATTTCATTGCTAAACAACTTAAACGTTTTAAAATTGAAACAGATAAATCATAAATATCTTCAATATTTTCACATAAACCAGTCAATTTATTTGGCATTTGAATCGAATATTGTAATGCCATTTGACGATTTCTAATTCCAGTCATCAAACCTGATTCAGGAAAAACAATCAAATCAACATCCTGTGTTGAGCAAATTTTTTTAACAAAAAATTATTGATTATTATTATCATTATCATTATTTACATACATGTTGTTTGGCCAAAATAGTAGCATTGATGAAAATTTTAAAATTTTCATCAATATTTTTTCCAACATCATTTTCATAATAAGGATGATGATCTAAAATGGCTGATGTAAAACAACTTTGTTCGATATTCGAATCAACACGACTATAATATACGGTAACAATCGATATTATTATCAATATCGATATTACGGTTGTTGTTAATGTTATTTTCCAAATCGAATTCATTTTGTGAAAAAATCTTCAAAATTTTCCAAATTACAAATTACAAATGATTTGGATTTTTTGAGCATTTGATTTTTTTTAAAATCCATTTTTTATGACAATTTACAAAAGTACAAAGATTTATTATTTTTATGATTTTTGCACTATGTTTCAAGTGATTAATAATTTGTTGATAACTTTTTTATCATCATTTTCTTTTTTGTTTCTACTAAGATATGATATGCCCGATAATCATGGATTGCATTGGTTTGGTTTTTTTTCTGGTCTGGTTCAAAATGATCATAAAAATTTTGGAGAAAAAAAATTTCCATTCAGTATTGCGCAACAAAGATTTAATTGGATTTAATTACCAGAATTCTGTTAAAATTAATTTACACAACAATTTAATCATTTTGGGGGAAAAATGGAACAAGAATTTATATTTAAATATCAATTTCAAGTCGATAAAATGTTCAATTTAAATCCATTTGAAAGAAAAAAAGGCAAACCATTAACCATGTTAAGCCTAATTTTTTTTCTAATAATTTTTTCATCAACAACTTTAACACAAAAAATTGATGTTGATTGTACAAATTTTATAAAATCAGCATTAAATAAAATATTATTAATTGGAATGATAAATAATGAACAATTATTATTAATAACAACCGATTCAAAAGTATATCGTATTTCATATAATGATAATCCAACAACTGGTGATATTTCATTTCCATTAACAAATCCATTAACAATAATGGATATTTATCCAATATTATATAATGATCAAAAATTTAAAAGAATATTTCAACAAAATTTAATTAGAAATTCATTTATATTTAAATGGCGTTCACGTTTACGTATGATATTTATAGCTGATGATACAATTGAATATTATCCCGATTGGTTATTAGTTGAAACAAATAGATTTCGTTTACCATCAATTGAAACAATACCATTATCAATATATGAAAATGATGGATCAATTTTATATATACTTAATATACAATCAACTGAATTAAAAATACAATCAATTTATTTACAAGCAATTCCATGTGAAATATTTGATATGGATAATATTTTATATGATAATCAATATCGTTATATTTGTTTTAGTTCAAGTCAAAATACAATATTTATTGAACCATCCATTGAAAAACGTTGTATATCACCGGTTAAATTATTAGTACGAATGGGTTTTATAACAAATACGAATGTTTATTTAATAACTGAAAAATATGTTTATTTTTTTTCAAAAAATGCATTAATTAATTTGGGTTCTGATCATCGTTTCTATAAAATTGAAATGACATCATTTTTTCGTTGTAAAGAAAAAGGTAATGTTGTTGTTTTTTTTGCGTTTTTCCCAATTGACAAACAAATTAATCTTTTCTTTTCTTTTCTTTTTTTTTTGTAGGTTCAAAACCACCAATTGAAAAAGTTAATAAAGATGAACCTATTTATGAAGATCATTGGAAACCAAAAGACACGAAAAAAAATCAAAATGAAAAAACTTATGATGAAGGAAAACCATTTGATTTTAATTTAAATTATTTATGGATTGTTTTAGTTGTTGTTGCAATAATGTTTTTAGGTATTATTTGCTATATACGACAATTAATACATAAACGTAAAACAATTCGTATGGACAAATATAAACATTCAAGATTATCAAGTTCAATAATATCATCAGAAATACCAAGATCATCATCAAGATTGGATAGTATGAGAACTAAACGATCATCAATGATGAGTAGATTGCTTCATAGTAGTTTATTTCCAAATAGAGCATCAAGAGCATCAATAGTTGATTCAAGAAGATCGTCACCATCTTCATCAAGAATTGGACAAAAAAGTTCAAGAAGATCATCACCATCAAGATCACCATCATCAGGAAGATCAACTGGATCTTATTTTCAATCAAGACGAAAATCGTCTAGAAGATAAAGTAAACAACAACAACAACAACAACAAATTCTCCTGATAAATCAATAATAATATTCTATTAATATTTTAAAAACCAAACAAACCAAAAAAAAAACAACTTTGATTTATCAACCATTCAATAAATGAATGAATGATAGTGAAATGTCATTTATTTTGTTAATATTATTTTTGATTTTTGATTTGCAACACACTTCACACACGCACACATCTTGTGACGATTTTACACATAATTCAATAACACACACACGACCATCGTGTATAATCAAATCAAATCAATAAATTGAAGGAAAAAAAGGGTCTGAAAAATAAGTTAAATGAAATGAAATATGTTTTTGTGAACTTGAAAAAAAACAAACTTTGAAGGAAATTTTATTTTTTATCAGAATAAATAATGTATATCAAACAAACAAGAAAAAAACTATAAATGGTAAATGTTTGAAAATGAAATACATTAGTTTTGTCGCGTGTATCTCTTTTCGCATATAAAACATGTTTGCTGACATCCAAAAAACAAACAGGTTACATATTTGCGTAATAAATCTTTTTTTTTTGAATTGAATTGAATTTGAAAAGACACTGTGTGTGCAGAAGAGAGATATAAGAGTTTGAAGAAAAAGAAAAAATTTTTTCATGGTTAAAAAGTTATTCGAGAAAAAAAATCTACATAATTCCAAAGAAAAATCTTTCGAAAGAAACAAAAAATGATTCTGTGGAAATCGATCAATTGTATCATCATCGTATTATTGACGATAATAATAATAAATTTTCAATTATTTTTGGCAAAATCATCATCAAATACAACACAACAAATAAAATGTAATGATTATAATAATTTAGAAGAATTTATGCTTAAATTAACTGGTTATATAAGTGAAACACAATATCAATATCCAACAAATGATAATGAATTTTCAACATATTGTAAAAATGTTAAATCCGGTTCCAAATCTACTAAAGAATATTCACAACAATGTTTACAACAAAATCCATCCGGTAAATCCATATTAATGATAATGTCATATTCATTTATACAATCAATAAAAAAATATTGTTCACGTCGTGTACCGAAAATTCGTAATGAATTAATCGAAATTGCTAAATGTGTTAATCCTAATCGTAAACATTTAGCTAAATGTTGGCAAATTTATCTGAATCGAATGAATTTAATATTTAATGTTGAACCAAATAATAATAAATTTCCATATCTTTGTTGGTATGTACACACAATCGATTGGTTGATGAAAACAGCTATAGCTAACCAATTCTTTTTCTTCCTTTTCTTCTTCCTTTCCCCCACACAGCATAACTGATTTATTTTCCACATGTATGGCTGAAAAATTACGTAATTATGGTAATCCAATTTGTACTGAAAAAATAATCAATCAATTTCAACAATTTTATGGTAGTACAATGGGAAATGTAATGAATTTTGCATGTGAAAATTTTGAAGATCAACAAGATCGTTGTGAAAAAATGATTGAAAAACAACAAGAAAAATTAACAACTGGTTCAATTAAACCGGTTAATTGGCGTACACCATTTCCAATTCTTATTGAATTTTTTCAAACATTATAATATCGTTTTTCGCTCACTCTTTTCTCTCAGTGAATGATGCAATCATTTAAAAAAAACAAACAAACAAACAATTTATGCTTGAAAAAAAAGAAAAATCATAATAATAAACAATAACAAATATTTGCAAACATTAAAAATTTCTTCGTTCGAAAAAAAAGCTGCAGAATTGATTTGAATGTTGAAAAAAAAAATATAATTAGTGGCCCAAACCGGCTCTCTTATAAAATCTCTTTTTTCTGCTTTTTCCAATGATCAGAATAATTGTATAATTGAATTACGAGATGCACCAACACCGATCCATTTTACTATGTTTGCGAAAAATAAATTAAAAAAATTTTCAAATCAATTTTTGTTTAAAAATTTTGTGTTTTACTTACTTGGTTTTCCTAATAATGATTCAATTTTTCGTACATAATTTTGAGCTTTTTCAGGCAGATCATCAAATTGACGACAATCACTAATTGAACATTTCCAACCAGGTAATGTAACATAATTGACAGTTACTTTTTCCAAATCAACAATATTAGCAGGTGGTGTATCAATTTCACGTCCATCAATCATATAGCTGATACCGATTTTTATTTCGGATAATCCATCCAATATATCCAATTTGGTCAATGCAATACTGTAAATGAGAACAAAAAAAGCTAATCATAAAAAAAAACTAAACATTTTTCAATTGAAAAAAAACTTACGCTGAAAATCCATTGATCATATCAGCATAACGAAGTAAAACAATATCCAACCAACCACATCTACGTTTACGTTTAGTAGTAACACCAATTTCTTTACCAACTTTTTGTAGATAATCACCAATATCATCTTTTAATTCAGTTGGAAATGGACCATCACCAACTCTTGTACAATATGCTTTAACAACACCAAAAACATTGCCAATAAATCTTGGTGGTATACCTAAACCGGTACAAGCACCACCAACCGTACAATTCGAAGAAGTTACATAAGGATAAGTACCGAAATCAATATCCAACATATTTGCATTAGCACCTTCGACTAAAATTTTTCGATTTTCTTGTATTGATTTTGATATAAACGGTATAGTATCAATAACACAAGTACGAATATGTTCACGCATTTCCCTTATACGTTCTAATTGTTCCAAAATATTTACTTTTAAATCAGGAAATTGTATTTGATAAAATTTTACTAATGAATAAAATTTTTCGGAAAATTTTTCAAAATCTCCCATTAAATCGGCCATACGAATACCGATACGTGATGCTTTTGTTGAATAAGTTGGCCCGATACCTTTTTTTGTTGTTCCAAGACTTTTATTTCCTTTTGCTTTTTCAATCAGACCATCAACTTCTTGATGAAAATCGAAAACTTAATTGAAAAATTTAATTTTGGATAAAAAAAAATTATTGAAAGAGAATCTTGACAACAACAACAAAAAACAAAACATACCCAGATGAGCACGATCCGAAATAATTAAACGTTGTTGCCAATTTTTTAAACCTTTTTCTTCATTTTTATGTATTTCATCTAATAATTGACCCAAATGAATGACAACACCATTACCAAGTACTGATGTAATATTTGTATTAATAATACCGCTTGGTAATAAATGAAAATCATATTCAACACCATCAGCAACAACAGTATGACCAGCATTATTACCACCTTGACAACGACAAATAACATCCATTTCGGATGCAATTAAATCGACAATTTTTCCTTTTCCTTCATCACCCCATTGTGCACCAAGTACAGCTGTTACTTTTGAACATTTACTATAATCAACAATCATTGTTTGAATAGCCGATGATGAATATTGTTGTTGTTGTTGTTGTTGTTGATAATTATTATTCGAATTGATGATTGTCGATCCATTTGTTAATGAATTGTTTCGTTGTTTTAATGTTATAACTGATGTTGTTGTACTGTCACCATTTGTTGAATGATGATGATGACAATTTTGCGAACGATTATGTGGACAACAATTTTGTTGTTGTTGTTGTTTGGTCAAATCGATTGTTTCCATTTCGAATAATAATAATGATTATTTTAAATTTTTTTTAAAAAAATTATTTTTCAACTACTTTGATGATTATGCATCAAAAAAAAAATCCCTGTAAATAAAAAAGTAAAAGATTAATCAACAAAAACGAAAAAAAACAAAACAAAATATGTGTTTGACTAAGAAACATATTACAAGGCTAAAATGTGATGAAAGACGAAATGAAATATTTTTTTGGGTAAGTGATAATTGTAATTTGTATTTTTTTTCACTTTATTATTCTACAACAATTAGATCTAAAATAACAATAACAACAACAAAAAACATGATAATAAATTCGGTAGTTGAACAACAACAACAACAACAAAATGGTGAAATGAAAAACCTGACACTGATGATGATGATGACAATGAAAATGGATTGAATATATAGAAATTGAGCCAAAAAATGTTTTTTACAAACAAAAACACATTTTGCCAAATCGAGATTCATTTCACAGAAAATAAAATGGAAAAATCCTCTCGGTTTTCATCAACATTTTTCGTTTTGTTTTATTGTTTTGTCAATGAAAAACATGACAAAACAATAAAATACAATCGACAACAACAACGATGTTAATGTCAAGCATTTTCATACGATATCATCATCAAAAGATGTTCAATGTTGATCATTATCATCATCATCATCATCATTTATATGGATTGCGCAATCAAAAAAAAAGAATCTTGCTTCTTCACATATGTTCGAATGAATTTGATTATCATTTTCATTATATAGAGATGATGATCAGGAAAACTAAACACAATGTCAGATACAAACACCATATGATTTTTCTAAAGATATTTTTTTGTTTTTCTCAAAGAACAAACAAAATATTGATCATGTTTCAATTTCATCGAAACCTGAATGATGGAAAAAACCTTTGCTATAAAATCATTTTGGGGAAAAAAATATGGACAAATTTGACACAAGGGGGGAAAAATCAGTTAACAAATTTTTTTTTACTAACTTTTTTTTTAAAGGTTAAAGAAGAAATAAATTTTAGCTGATTGAATCACTAAGAACAAATTTTTTATCCATTGGATCAATTCGAATAGAATTTCATCAGATTGTATTCAATCAGATTTGTTCACTTGTACAGAATGAATATTTGATAACGAAAACAAAACAACAAAAATTTAAAAAAAAACAAATCAAGAATCGTCCCCAAAGAAATGAAGAATTTCTTATTGACTCACAAACAAGTAAAAACAAACACACCACCATTTAGAAAAAATTAATTCACAAGACGGCATGCACATGTACAACAAAAAAAATAAATATCACATATATGCCATGCGATAATATTCATCGTCGTCGACGTTGTTCTTCGTTCTTCGTCGTCATCATCAACGTTTCATATATAATACCTCTTTCGTTTTTTCTTTTGGTTGATGCGCCAGACATTCTTTTTGGCGGCATATATATTATGTATGTATGTATGTTATGTACACAGAAAAATGTTAAGTAAAAAAATTTTAAGGGGAAAAAAAATGTCGCCGATCAGCAAACAGAAAAAAGGAAAATAAGCCGCTCATATGTCAATCATATAATCAAAAGGAACGGAAAATTTTTTGTTTTTCAAAAAAATTGTTACATTACCCGATAATGGCTGATTGATTGATATTTGATTTTTGATCCTCTTGGTCACATGGACTTGATTGAATATCGATATATTTTTTTTTTTGCATTGGAAACAACAAGCAAAAATTTTTGTTGTTGTTGTTGTTGTTGTTGGGATAAAATGGATGCAATAGAACGATCGATTAATTTAGTTTAGTTTATTCTTTGGCCAAATGAGCACCAAAGAAAAAAAATTCGAATGAACCCTTCGATGAAATGTAGATTTTCATTTTTTACAAAAATTTTCCAAAAAAACCGAACACACACACAGCATGGTTACCATGGTTTTTTTGTTTTGTCAGGTAGCTACCGAGTTACCTGAATTTGTTTTTGTAACCGAATTTATAAAACCAAAAACAAAACAAAACTTCAGACTTCTAATTAACAAATCTAATTACAAAAAGAATTACAAAAAAATATGGATCGTATTCGTTTGAAGGATAGATTGAATACAACAACAACAACAACAACAATGGATTCAATGGCCATTGATGATAGTTCAATGATGGTAGTAACACAGCTTCCAAAATTATCAACAAATTCTCAATTAATGATGATGATGGACAATCATGTTGATGATAATCATCAAACAACTGGTTTGGATTCAAAAAGAAAATATCATTTTAAAGAAAAATATCAAATAAAATGTCATCTTAGTGCAGGTGCACATGGAATTATCTTATGGGCAATGGATCGTCATCATTCAAATTCGAATCATGAAAGTTCCAATAATGGACATTCACCAAACGACGAATCATCTTCGATGACCAAATGTTCAAAATATGATGATTATTTTCAATTGGAAAATTCCAATCAACAACAACAACAACAACAACAAAATCCTATTAAACATTATGCAATCAAACGTATTTTTATTCGTAATCGTATCATATCATTAAAATTGATTCGTGAAATAAAATCATTACAATTTTTAAAAGGCCATCCGAATATTATTGAAATATTGGATGTTTGTACATCAGGTTCAACAATAAATCTTGTGTTTCCATTACTGCCAACAAATTTAACGACATTAATCTATGGTCCAAAAGCTAATCAGGTCGAAACACATTCATCTACCCAACATTCATCATTATTAACGGATCAACAATCAATTTGTTTATATTTTCAAATGCTTCTAAATGGTTTAGATCATCTACATCGAAATGGTATCATACATCGTGATTTAAAACCATCAAATTTATTAATCGATTGGAATGGTCGATTGAAATTAGCTGATTTTGGCCAGGCACGTTCGATTGACTGTTTTGGTGAAAATAGTGATCGAATAGAATATTCGAATGATGTTTGTACTAGATGGTATCGTTCACCCGAGTTATTATGGGGTTCTATTCATTATGGTTTTGAAGTTGATATTTGGTCATCCGGTTGTATACTTATTGAAATGATACAAAAATATCCATTATTTCGTGGTGAAACTGATATTGAACAATTAAGTTTAATAGTACGATCATTAGGTAATCCAGAACCAAGTGAATGGACAAAAAATTTACCCGATTTTAATAAAATACAATTTGTTCAAATTGATTCATTTGATATGGCTGTTGATACTGGATTACCTGGTTGGTTGGAAAAATTTTCCGAAAAAACTGGTATCGAATCATATGGATTATCAGATTCAAGATTAACATTAGATTTAATTTCAAAAGTTATCCGTTATAATGAACGTTGGACAACACAAAACTTATTGAAACATGAATATTTTACAAAAAACAAACAGAATTGTTTTGAAGAGGAAAAATTTCTTATCAAACCAAAATTTATTGAACATTTATCGGGACCACCACCACCACCACCACCATCAACAACAACAACAACAACACAGGCCGATATCAAAGTATGATCGGGGAGGTTCGATCGAACGATAGTGACAGATAGCCAAACAAACGACAAACTGTAATCATACACCTGAGAGATAAGAAAGAAACAAGTGTTTTTTTTTATTATATGGTTTGAGCAATGTGGTCAACCAATGTGTTGTTTTTTTAGTAACTGACCAGTGACTGACTATCATCATTGAATTCCAATATTGTTATTTTTGTAAACTCAAAACAAATTATGACAATTTGTAATTTTTTCAGTAAAGTACGAACAAGATATTTTGGTGTAAAATTTAATAATAATAATGAAAATGAAAATAATAATGTTCAAACACTTTGTTATAAAAAACAAGAAATCCCGAATAATGATGAACATTCTTCTTCAGAATTATTTACAAATGAATCATTAGAATTTGAAATAATTGATTTTAAACATGAAAATTCTATTGATTCCTGTATACAATCTTCATTTAATCATCGAAAATGTTATTCAATTGATGCACAACAACGACGACAACAACGATTTGTACGAAAACCAAATACAAATTTATCGTTAAGTTTTTCTGGACCACGTTCGACATTCAATAACCATTCGAGAGACAGGATTTATGCAGAATTGGCTCAAAATGGTACACCATTTTTCGGTAAGATTATTTTTGATGATTTTTGGTAACTTTTCTTCTATTAACCAAACGATTTTATTTCAGTAAATTCATGGTCACATTTAAACGAAAAAAGATCTAAACAAAATAAACTTTCCGATTATATTAATAGTAAAAAAATTATTGATTGTAGTTCATCATTTTATATTGATAATCAACAATATACAAATTTAACTGCTCAGGATTTTCGCCGTATAAAAGATCTTGGTTCAGGAAATTTTGGCTATGTACAACAATTTTTACATCTACAATCAGGTATTCATATTGCAGTGAAACGAATGAAATATGTTGAAATAGAATCGAATGAAAATGATAACCGTAAACATGTTCTAAATGAATTAGAACTATTATCAAAAAGTAAACATGAAAATATTGTTAAATTTTTTGGTTACATTATATTTCATCATGATTCGGAATTATGGCTTTGTATGGAATTGATGGATTGTTGTTTTGATCGTTTAATTTATAATGGTCATAATAATAATAATAATGGTAATAATTCAAGAATGATACCCGAATCAATTATTGGTTCAGTTACCGTATCAATTATTGATGCTTTAATTTATCTAAAACAAACACATAAAATGATTCATCGTGATATTAAACCATCAAATATATTAATCAATCACCGTGGTCAAATTAAATTATGTGATTTTGGTATTTCCGGTTGTTTAATTGATTCAATAACATCATCAAGAACAATTGGTTCACATTCATATCAAGCACCGGAACTGTTTCAACATGATTTTGAAATTGATTTTAAATATGATTGTCGTGTTGATGTTTGGAGTTTAGGAATAACATTATTAGAAATGGCATTAGGTCATCATCCATATGGACAATGGACAGTTGTATTTGAAATCATTACAAAAATATTGAATCCAAAAAATGTTCCAACTTTATCCACGACGACAACAACCGATGGAAAATATTCGAAAAATTTTAAAAACTTTATCGATACATGTCTACAATATGATTATCGTTTACGTCCAAAATATGATCAAATAAAAATGACAAAATTTCTTAAAGAACAAATTAAAAAATTTAATTTAAAAATTGTAAGCGAATGGTTTTATTCGGTTTATTTTAATAATAATGATGGTGATAATAATTTTGATTAATTAATAAAAAAATTGTAAAAAATTTTAATTATAATTTGGTCTGGTTTTTTCTTCTGGTCGAGAAAAAGAATCCAAATTTGAAAATGTTCGAATTACAAATTGAACGTCGTTTATGGAATACATTGAGTGAAATGAAACGAGCGTGCACACGGGTAGAATTTTTGTTTTTTTTGTACATTCTTTTTGTCTGTTTATTGCAACGAGAAAATTTTCATTTTTTTCGAAATTTTAAAATTTTTTTTAAAAAAATTACTAAATCATGGCAGAATTAACAAAATCATTAGCATCGACTAGAGAACGTCGATCAAATGCCGGTGCTAATATGTCTAAATTGTTGGACAAAGAAGAAGACGATGAATTCTATAAAACACAATATGGTGGATTTGATGAGGTATGATTTGGTTTTTGTTTTGAAAAAAAACTCAAATTCTTTAAATAATTTTATTGTTCAGGCCGAAAATGATAATGATTTTTCTGTATCCGATTCATCGGATTCGGAAAATGTTATCGATTCAGATTTTGATATTGATGAACATGTTGATGCAGTTGTCGATGAAGATGAAGTTGAAAAAATTGTTCAACAAGAAGAAAAACGTGAACGTCAAGCTGCAACAAAACGCAAATCATTTTATCGTGAACCTAAACCAAAAAGTTCAACAATAAAATCACCTACATCTGTTGAACACCGGCGTCCTGTTCGAACTTCACTTCTTAGTCCAACGTCAACGGTTCGAAAAACAACGCTTCGTTCGGATGATGCACATTCGCTTTATAAAAATCTTCGTGAATCAACAAAAAAATCATCAAGAGAAACGAAAGAAAATCTTGAAGATGAACGACAACGAAAATTAAAATTCAAATCAAAACGTAAACAGCCATATCGACAGCCAACACAAGAAGAACGTTTACGTGAAGCTAAAAGAACCGAAATCGAAAACAAACGTTCACTTGAAGCATACAAAAATATGGAAATAGAAAAATCCAAACGAAATAAAACGACTAAAAAAATACCGAATGTTCCAATGATTCGTTATCAATCATATCGTGAAAATTCTAAAGATTCTGATCCATGTTATCGAACAATCATTTCATTTCCTAATGATGAAATTTTTGATCATTATTTTGGTAGATATAAACAAGAATCACTTAAATCGGAAATTGATCAACAACCTCGAAAACGTTCCATATCTGTTCTTTCTGGACTGCCTATACGTTACAAAGATCCACTAACTGGATTTCCTTTTGCAAAAGCAAAAGAATTTAATGTTATTCGTGATTCATATATCAGATATTTGGAACAATCTACTTTACGTGATGATGTAACAATTAAAAAATTCATAGAATCATATCAATTATCACCAGTATTGGAATTAAAATTAGATCAATCAAATCAACAATCGAAATTTGTTATTGCCAACAATTCTAATCAATCACAAGGAACAACGACAACGACAACGAATTTGATCAAAGGATCTGCTGCTATCACAACAATGGCAAAAATTCATTCAACAAATGAAACAATTCGTGATGTTTGTAAATATCGAACATTGAAACCAAAATTACCAATATCGGTTAATACGAATAATACTAATAGTCCTGTTTCATGGTTAGTGATTACAACCAATAATAATAATAATAATAATGCTAATAATAACAAACCACAAGTTCAACAAGTATCAACTTCTTCATCATCATCATCAATTACTCAATCTACAAGTAATAATAATAATGCACAATAAAATTTTGCAAATAAAATTACAAATCTTTTTTTTTCATTTTAATAAAAATTTTTCGTTTGTTTTTTGTCAAATTGAACTTATTTTTATGAATGGATCTTCAACGAAAATAATGAGGAAAAAAAAATTGATTTTTTTTCGCGCTTGTTTAGCTTCATCTGTTTTTGATTTGGTTTGGTTTTTTTTTGAAAAAAAAATATTTTGTTAATTACAAAATGTCTTCCACTAATCAATTGTTGAAAAAATTTCAAATGAATGGTCTTAATGTTCGACAAGATGCATTGAATATTTTTGAATCAGAATTCAAACATGGACAACCATCTTATCGATCGATCGATGATTTTATTACTGTCCTAATTGATAAAATGTTAACCGAAATGAATTGTGATGATTATATTATTGATTCAGAAATGGCACAAAAAGCTATAGATATTTTACGTGATTCTCGCCAAACACAACAACCGAATGAACAAGATCCTAATCAAATTATCGTCAGAAATGCAGTCGATTTAGAACAACAAATTTTAGGATCAAATTTTGAATTTCATTATCAACAATTAGTGAAGCAATTGAAAAAACTCCCTGCATTCGAATCCGGACAATTTCGTTTGATGAATATTGATGATTTAAATACATATGAATCGAATATTGAAATCAAATGTATTGTATTTGCAATGATACGTTATGATCCGACCCGGATAATGCAATTTTTATTAGAAGATCCGACCGGTAAAATACCGATTCATTTAAGTTCTCAAATTGTATGGCGTGAATGGGCAACATTTCAACATGGAATCTATCTAATCGAAGGTATTTATGAAGGTCAAAGAGATTCATTTCAGATTACATCCATTGGTCTACCGCCAATGCCAATACAATTAAATTCTATTGAAAATGTGCCGAATACCATCGATGATGATGATGATCATAATGATAATGATAATGACGATGATCGAATGTTAATTTTTTTGACTGATGTTCATCTTGATCAACCAACAACAATGGAAGCATTGAAATTTTTATTCACTGGATATAATTCTTTGCAACAGGTTCCTGAAATTTTCATATTGATAGGAGATTTTTCCTCTACTCCGATTGATAACTTTGATTTCAAAGGTATGTATCATCAAAAAAAAACTTTTCCTCAACTAAATTACCTTTAATTTACAGACAACATGAAAAATTTGGTCAAACTTATATCAACATTTAAAAAATTATCACAAAATTCAAAATTTATTTTTGTACCCGGTCCAAATGATCCTAGTTCAACATCAGTCGATTCATTTGTTAAATATCAATTTACTTCGGATCATTTTCCAACAACCACTACCAGATTGAAAAATTATGATCTTCCTTCGAATCCATTTTATCTACGATTCGATAATCGAAACTTGTGCATATTTTCGAATCGAATTTTAAAAAAATTTGCCAAAAATATTATAAATAGTCATGAACAGGTTAATACGACAAAATTAACGAAAAATGATTCAACAATTATGAAAGATTTTTTAAAATCAATCGGTCGTTTGATAATGACTAATGCTCATCTAACAGCTGGTCTTTGTCGAAATTATACAAATTCATTGTCATTATTTTCACAGATGACTGATTTGTTTTTTCTGGCCGACACTGAATCACCATTTGTTGAATGTCAACCATTCAAATTGAACAAACCATCACCACTTTTTACAACATCGTTATCATTTTCTAAAAATAATTTTCAATTTATTGTCTATTATCCTAAAGTCAATCGACTTGAAGAATCACAAATAAGCATTTAAATAAAAAAAATTCATTTTATTTTATAAAAAAAAAAATTATTTTTTATTCGCTTGACGATCACAATATTTTTCAATCGATCGTCGTATTGTTTCCACAGTAAAATCTATATCATCATCATTGATACACATTGGTGGTGCAATTCGAAAAACATTAGCTTGAGGTCCTATAGAAAAAAACAAAAAAAAAAATTTGAACACAAAATTCAAATATTAAAAGAAAGGTTTACCTCCTCGACCAACAATCAATCCCATATCTTTACAATCTTCAATTATCTGATCCATTTGATCTTTAGGCATTGGTTTACCTTGATACATCATTTCTACACCTATCATTAAACCTTTACCACGAACATCGCCAACAATTTCACCATTATAATCATCACGAATTTGTGCCAATTTTTTCAAAAGTTTATTACCTAGATTATGTGAACGTAATTGTAAATTGTTTTCATCGATTACATCCAAAACAGTTGAACCAATAGCCGATGCTAATGGATTACCACCAAATGTATTGAAATAAGATCCAAGTGTTAATGTTTGAGCAATTTCAGCAGTTGTAATTACTGCAGCCATTGGAAAACCATTTCCAATTCCTTTTGCCATTGTAACAATATCCGGTAGAATTCCATGTGATTGAAATTCCCAAAAATTTGTACCGATTCTTCCGAATCCTGTTTGAACTTCATCCATTACCATTAAACCATTTCGTTGTTTAACTAATTCATAAGCTCGTTTAATATATTGTTTAGGATATTGTACAACACCACCAACACCTTGAATAGATTCGGCAAACATGGCTGCAATTTTTTTAGGAAGACATGAATCCATCATTGTTTGTAAATCTTCAATATAATAATCTGCAGCCTGACAATGATCTGCATCAATGCAATCACAATGGCGATTAGTTTGAATCAAGGAATCACGACAAAATCGACCACCAACACGTCCACGATAAGGATCAGGACAGCTAGCATAATGAAAACCAAACGAAGTTGGCATAGGAAATTTCCAAACACCAATCGAACATAATGGCATTGTAGAAAGTGTACTACCGTGATAACCATTTCTTAATGCTATAATATCAAATGAACCTGTATACAATCTAGACATAGTTATAGCTATATCGTTGGCTTCTGATCCAGAATTACAAACAAATACGCATCGTAATGGTTCGGGAAAATGATTGGCCAATTTAATGGCAAATTCATGTATCTCTTCAGTCAAATATAATGAACTTGTATGCCATATTTTTGTTGATTGATGTTGAATTTTTTCAACTAAACGAGGATGACAATGTCCAATCGATGTTGTTAATATTCCGCCAAACATATCTTATATTTTTTAAAAAAGAAAGGAAAAGATTCAAAAATCATTCGTTGATTATTATAATTTACCAAGATAACGTCGTCCAGAATCATCCCAAACATATTGCATATGTCCTTGTGTTAAAAATACTGGTCGTTTATAACAAGTTGTAAGACATGGATTCAAATTGATACGATGAATTTGTTCTATTTCAAATCTACTTAATTTAGTCTTTTTTTGATGATTTTCTTTTTTAATATTTTAAACATTTTATTCATCATTTCATTTCAAACTGACCTTATATTTTTCTGGAATATAATCACAAGGAGGTAATTCTGGTGTTGAATTTGTTGACAAACAACGACAAATTGATTTAAAACATAAATTTTTCAACGATGATGAAAATTGAATCAAATTGGCCATTTTTGTTGTTGTTTTGTTTAGAAATGATGTTCGTTTTATTTACTAAAATCATTTATATAAACAGATCCTAAGCTAAATAATGATTAAATTTTGAATCAAAAAGATTCATAAACATCTGCCATCTATCAAATGTCTAATGTTTTATCTATATCAGCGAGGGTGTATTTGATGATGATGATGATGATGATAAACATTAGAAATCATAAGACTTTTTGTCAATAAGTCATTTATTAAATTTAATCAGAAGACATTTTCGTTGTCTGAATTTACCCTCAACAAACAAACAAGCAAAAAAAACAAAAAAAAACAATGACCATTGATGACAGATGGAATTACCATCGTTAAATTGAAATTTATTTTTGTGATTGAATGAAAAAAATGAATTATTCAAGGAAGGCAATGTGTGTTTTTTATCACAAACATAATATCAAAATTTTTGTTTTTTGTTTTTAATCATCAAATTCATCCATTTGTCGACGTTTTCGTTCCAATTCTTTACGTCGTTTTTCACTTTCAAGTGCACGTAATGCACGTTTTGCTGCTGTACATTTGGCAATTCGTTTATTACGACCAATACCAACAAATTTTCCTAAACCAAATACTTCAACAGTAACACGAATACGACGACCAGAATTGATTTCAGGTTTTCTTTATGGGGGGAAAAAAGATAAAGATATAAATTTAACTGAATATCAACTGGGAAAAAATGAATGGAATACAAACCCAAATTTAACACTTTGTGGTTGTTTTTCCAACAAAACTCTTATCGGACTTTTTGGAACTTTTTCGCTAAAATTTTCTGAAATTTTTCGTTTAAATTAGAAAAAAAAGTTATTAGAAACCATTTCATTTCTTACCAATTTCAGGTTTCATCATTGGATAATATGCTTTCCAAACTGCTTCCAAACTCATATCAGAATCCAAATAAATTGCACCAGCAACCGATTCAAAAATATCACCTAAAGCTTTAGGAACTTCAATATCTTCAAGATGTTCAGCTTCATTTTCGCTAACAAACAATTCCCAATAGTTATAATTTGAATAGGAATTTTCATCCATTCGTTCATCATCTTCATTGCCTTGTTGAAAATCGCTTATAGCGCTAAGAATCTTTTTCGATTCACCATTGGCAAGATTTTGATTATAATAAATGTTAAATTTACGTACAAAACCATCGATAACTCGATAAAGTTCGGATGAAAGCATCATAAGATATTTATGAAAATTATACTTAACAGCTAATGCAGCGAAAAAAGTATTATTAACTAATGCTGATCGAAGATCAGTCAATGTACCAGGTGAATGACATCGAGGATCTTCATAAAGATATCTTGTTATAAGATAATCAAGAACAGCATCACCAAGAAATTCTAATCGTTGATAACAATCAGTTACTTTGTTTTCATAATAAGAATTGTGTGTAAATGCTTGTACTAAATAGGCACGATCACGAAATCGATAACCGATAATTTCTTCAAAACGATCCAAATGATGTTTATAATAATTTCTTTGAAGTTTATCTTCAATTTCTTTTACTTTAGCAATATCGTTTCGTAAATGTTTAGGAATAATCAATGGTGATCGAGGTTGTGGAAGCCATCGTTCATGATTTTGATTCGAATCATCTTTATGTTCAACTGGTTCGCTGGTCAAATTTTTTGTTATAATTTTCATTCCTTTCGGTAATACTTTAAGTCCAAGCCAATCCATAAATTGAATAGCACCTTGAGATCCAGAAGAAATTAAATATGTTCCAATCAATGCTTCAACACAATCGGCAATAGATTTATTCGGAATAGAATGTTGTGTCAATAAATTATATGGCACTTTATTCGATGTTGTTGTTTTAACATTATCGTTTGATTCTTGCTCAACATTATCTAAAGCCTGATAAGAAGGTGGACACCAATTATCCACTGGTTCAAATTTCGAAGCAATCATTAATTCACCAAGATTTATTCGTTGACCTAAACGATGTAAATTTATATTTGAAATCTGTCGGCTACGTAAAAATGATAATTTTCCTTCGTTCAATTCTGGACACATACAGAATAAGAATGCTGTTATGGAATATTTTAAAAATGAATCGCCAACAGTTTCTAAACGTTCAAGATTAATACCATCACTTGAATTGGACATTGTAATTGCTTGTAATATCAGACTTGGATGTGGTCCCATTTGTATTTGTGTTTCGAAAGAATTTTCCAATTGAAGCCATCGTGGTAAAGTTTGCAATGCTAATTTTCGTTGTGCTTGAAACAAATCGATAGGATTTTTATCATTCGATGTAAATTCAGCCAGATTTTCATCTCTATTCGGCAATAATTCACCAAATTTAACTTCAATTTTTGTTGATGATAATGATGAATTTTTGCCAAGAATATTTGCAAATTGACTTCGATTTTGCACTTGTTGATCAATTTTTTCATCTTCAATTTCATGTTTAATTTTCATCATATCCAACAGATTTGTATCAATTTTTTCCATTAAAACCGATAATAATGATTGATTAAGATTAATTTCATTAAAATTTTTATCATTACGAAATGTATCAATTTCCGGATCACAGCAAACATGATCATTTTCATTTTTCGATTTTGAATTTTCATTCATTAATGTTTCATTTTGAATTCGTTGTACACATTGCATTACTTGATTTTTTTCATCAAAATACATTTCATCAAAAATTTTTCTTTTTCGTAAATGTTCTGAATGTTGTTCGGCTAATGAAAATCGATGACGATAATAATATTTTAAACTTTTCTGTTCAATCTGTCTTGAATCATATAATAATTCAATTTTTAATATATCATAAATAACGGATTTTGTTTGATATGCATCCATTGTTTGTGATAGTTTACGAATTTTTTGATCAAAATCTGTTTTTGCTTTACGATTTTTATATTTTGAATATTTTTTTGGAAAATTATCCAAATCATCATCATCATCATCATTGTTACCATTATCATCATCGCCACTATAATCATAATCATCGTCATCATCATCTTCATCATGTGAATTGAAATTACCATCATCATCAAGATCATCATCATCATCATCTTGATCATAATCATCACTAGAATCATCAAGATCATCAAAATCTGAATATGAACCATCATCATCATCATCGTCGTCGTCTAAATCTGAAAGCGATGTTACCATAGGTTTTCGTTTTTGATTATTATTGTTTCGGGAACTTTTTTTCCTATTATTTCCCGAAAATTTATTATCAAATTCTTCAAATTCATGTTCATTATCTTGAATTTCATCATCATCATCAACTAAACTGGGCATTTTTGAAATTTGTTGAATATCTTCTAAAAATTTTTTAAAATTTAATCGAAATTCAGCTCGTGCTGGATCAATTTCTTCATTATTCGATTCATTATCATTACCATCCGATTCATAAAATCTCCAATCAAAATCAGCTGGTATTTTTCCATTTCGATCTGATTCTAAATTTTCTCGATCTTTCCAATATGTTGGTGAACCAGCACGAACCGGTAATTTTTGCCCTGGTTGAATGATTGGATTATTTTCATTATCAACTTCAATTATTCCACTTTCTTCTTCGTCAAAATCATCATCCATTGAAATTTCTGATAACATTTGTTTTTGGCTATTATTATAATTCATCTTGGATTCATTGAATGGACCACTAATGATTTCAATTTGTGGAATCATTTCATTATTGTATGAATCAAAATTTATAAAATTATTTTGATTTTCATTAAAAAATTGATCCGAAGCTGGTGGAGCCATTGATGGATCAAAAGTATCGATAATAAAATCATCATCTTGATTTATGGTTGTTTTTTGTTTTTCATTTGAATCATCAAGATTCGAATGTTGATTATTATTACTGGCACATTCAATCGATTTTGTCTGTTGACGTGATTGTTCAACTAACACTGACCAACCAAAATCTAATTTTGGCCATTTTTCACCATCCGGTAATTGAATAACACCAATTTTAGCTTCTTTTGCTATTTTAAAACGTAATTCTTCAGCAATTAATAATAAATTTAAACGATACAAAATACAAGGTAAACAAACTGCTTTACGCCAAAATGATGCTGGAAATGGATGTATGAAACATAATTCCGGTACAAGAATTTGTTTTTGTTGTGGATTTCTTTTCGATTGATGATGGCCACTACCACTAGATTTTAATGATGATGATGATGATAGATTAATACCTCTACGATTTAAAAAACGTGGTGTTAATAAATTCAAACGTGCTGATGTATGATCAACATCTAATAATGGTTGTTCAAGATTGGTAATTTGTTTTTCATATTTTTGATTATAATATTTTTCAAATGTTTGATATTCATGATCAGGAAATGGACTTTGTGGTGTAAGATCATGACAAATTTCAGCTACATAATAAAATGATTGTAATTTATCTTTACGATATTTAGGAATGACAACGGCATCTTGATAAAGTTTTTCTTCAAAAATAAATCTATTCTGATCATCATGATGAAATTTTTCCTGATCATAGGATTTTGGATCATTTTTATGATGCCAAATCAATTCTAAAAATTCCCAATCAATTGTTTTTTGATCACCATTATCAATAGTATTGATCGGTACAATAAGATAATTTCCATTCGAACCATTCATACGATCAAAACGAATTGATGATTTTCCAAGTGGTAAAACATTTTCAAATGTATATTGATGAAAATTTTCAATTTGTTGTCGTTTTATTTCATTGATTTCAAAACCATTTTTTTCTAAATCTGTATTTCGAATAGGAACTATCGAAACAGTTACTTCACCCGATCGATTATAGATAGTAAAATCACATATTGTTGGCAAATGATTTGGTGAAATTATACCAAATGTTCGTGTTGTTTCCGCCGGATCAATAATACGCCGTCCTCTAGTATTATGTTCTTCCGATAAACGATATGTTAATTTCATTTGAAATTCATATAAATATTGAAAACAATAATTATCATCATCATTATCAACATTACTAAAAATCTGTCCACAAAGTGAATCGGCAACTTTTTTCTTAAAATATTGACGTCGTTTTGATGCTATATTACGATTCTGTATACGATTAAAACGATTTCCTTTCTGATGATATGGACCACGATGATGATGATGATGTTGGTGCTGTGGTTGTTGTTGTTGATGTTGATGCAATACCTGTTGATTATTATTATTATTCTTCGGTATATTAATAAAACAATCTTGAAGACCTAATTTTTCTATATAACGACTTGTTTCTTTTCCAACTGGATAAAAATTCTGATCCAATTCACCAATTTCTCTTAATGTTTTAATCGCTTCAAATGCAACCGATTGTTTAGCTAATGATTGTGTTGGTTGAACGTTGCCAACAATTTCATCACGATAAGTTGAATTTATAGGTAAAAATAGTCGACAACGATATTTTGTAATAATTTCACTATTTTCTTCCGATTGATTTTCTTCTTCTTCTTTAACCGATTCAATTTTATAATTTGGAACCAATTTTGTAAATGTATCACTTGGTAATTTATTACAATAACGATTCAAAATTGATATAGCATTTTCTAATGTTAGCTGTAAAGTTGCCGATTGATTTGATTGTTGTTGTTGTTGTTGTTTATCAAATTTTTTCGATTTCTGTACAATTGAAGATGATTTTAATGATGATGAATGTATTGGTTTAATCGATTGAATTGATGTTATCAAATCAATGTTTTTTGGTTCATTTTCAATATAAACTTGATTGTTTAATGGTACTAATTTTGTAAAAATTTTTTCAATATTACAAAATTGTAAAAATTTTTCCACATAATCTTTATGATCATTTTGTTCAACCAACACTATAAATTGTCCACGTTCAACACGTACACGTCCTTTTGATTGAATAAATTGATGAAATGTTTTCGGTATATCAAAACAAATAACCATATTACAACGATTTACATCAAGTCCTTCCGATGACATTGATGTTGTTATTAAAACATTACATTGTTGTGGTAAACGAAATCTTCGTAATGTTTCTTCTTGTTGTCTATAATAGTAAATTTCATGTAATGATTTTTGATGTTTACGATAATAAAAATTTTTCAATTCATTTTTTCCATCATCTTCGGCTAAAAATACATAATCTGATTGAAGAAAATCAAGTATACATGCTTTTCCGGAATTTATTTCACGAACAATTGCTATCAATTCACGTATCCATTCATTCAAAACACGTGCCATTAAACGATTTTCCACATAAATTAATGAACAAATATTTGATGGAAATGTAAATGAAGAATGTGTTGTTTGTTGTTGTTGTTGATTTGTCGATGATGGACTAGATAATTCTTCAAGATATTCGATTAATACTTGTGCTAATAGATGAAGTTTTGGTGAAGAAATCAAAAGAAATTGTTCGATTGTTAATCGTTGCGATTCAGATCCATTTGATGATGATGATGATGATGTAGTATTTTCATATTTTGCAACAATATCTTGATCCATATATGATAATATTGATTTACGAATCAAACATAATGTTGAATGACATGAATTTAAAAGTCGAAGATAATTTGATGCCGTTTTGGACATAAGTAAAATTGTATCATATAATTCACGATTAATTAGATCGATTAATTTTAATGCACACCATTCACCAAGTATTCCATATACATTAAGAATATCGACAATCATTTTGGCAATAGTTTCATGATTAATAAGTTGTTCGGTAGTTATACCACCATCCATTGAAACATTTGTTATAAAATTAAAAAATTGTCCCGAATAATTTCTTATCATAAACAATGCCATACGATATTTTATATCATTTTGAATGAAAGATTTTTCTGATGCCAATAATGAATAATAACTTCGAAGTTTTATACGACATTGAATTGAATATTTACTAATCATACGTAGATCGGCATATGTTTCACATGAACAACAAAGATTTTTTTCAATTTGTTCGATCATTTTTTCGAAAACATTCGATGAAACATTTTCCAATAATATCGATGCCGAAAGACCTAGAATTCGATATTGTTTTTCATTAGTTGTTTGCAAACGTAATCGATGAATAATTTTCGTATAACAATCATCGGCTGGTGATGTACAGAGTAAAATTTTATGTACATCATTCAATATTAACAAATTTAAATCATTAGCATGAATTAATTTCTGTTCGATTAGATATTCAAAAAGACAATCCATCATCAAATGAATATCATATGATTGAAGTTTTTTATGCCAAATATCTGGAGACCATTGTTTTGCATCATCCGTTTCAATATATTCACCAATACGAAGATTACAATGAGCATTGAACACAGATGAATAAAGTTTAATAGAATTTGGTGATTTGGCCAAGAAAAATATTTTTTTAGGATTTTTCAAATCCACCACATTATCCGAAGGAAATAAATGTGGATTAAAATATTTTACCAACATTACTGATATGAAATATTTTCCTTGACCAGGGCGAAGAAAAACGATTGTATCGCGATTTTTACATGTTTCATATAATTCAATCTGTAATTAGAATCAATCAATGTGGTTAATGAGCTTAATTTCATTTTTCGATTTTGACTAACCTGAAATGGACGTGGAAGAAAATCACGATTATCAAACAATGCAAATGAACGAATCAATCTTGTATTAGGATTATTCATTGAATTACGATGACCATATTTATAATTTGATTTCGAATTTGTCGAATTGACAACATTATTATCCGAATTGTTGGTTGTCGACAAATTTTTATTTGTGGCCATTTTTCCACTTGATTGAATGGCCTTAAAAATTTTCGGTCTAAAATTCAAAGATTATTAATTTTAGAAAATTTGTGAAAAAAGTGAATCTGATTCAACGAGAAAAACGAAAAACGAAAAACGAAATGCACATGCATGAATCCAAATGCACATTTAATTTTCTTTTTTTCTCCTGTCTGTATTGTGTTACACTGTCGTCTTGTCTATGGCGAGTATTTCTTTTTTTTTACGCAATCGATAATTTATGGTTGTCATATCGCAACCGAAGGTGTGGCTTAAAATTCGAAACCATTGACTTTTTTTCTACTGTTTTAAGTTAAATTATTACGCGCTACACTTATCACGTGATCAAATTTTTTGAAAGGATTCTTAATGCTCCAAAAATAATTATCCACTTCTTAATGTTATCAGTAAATATATATGTAATATGCGTATCTAAATCGCGATATTTATTTTTTTTTTGATCAAAATGATAACAAGATATCTGTTTTTTTATCTACTTTAAATGTAAAAGAATGATTATTATGTAAAAACAAACTATGAACATTTATGAATCGAGTATGAATTGTACATTTGTTCAACAAAAACACTTGTTACTTTGTTGTTGAAATTTAAATATCAAATTGTCATCATGGAATCGAATAAACAAGAGCATAATAATAATAATAATAATATTGAACGACCAAAAGTTTCTTTTATTGGAATTAATGATGCAGATGGTGATGACAATGATAATGATCAATCAACAACATTATCTCATCAAGAAGAATTATTATTATCAAATAATTTTTCAATTATTGATAAAGAACATTTACAACAAAAATTAAGATTCTATTTTATGTCACCATTGGATAAATGGCGTACAAAAAAAAGATTTCCATTTAAATTATTATTTCAAATGTTAAAGATAATATTTGTTACATTTCAATTGATAAATTTTGGTCAAGAAATGTCTGATTATATTACACAAGATGATCATATTGAAAATGCATTTCGTAATATATTATTGGATGATTGGGATCAAACAAGAGAAGTATTTGCTTATCCACCGGCAACTGGTGATTATGCTGTTTACACTACTCAACATTTTTATTCATCATTAGATTTTGCTATTAGAAAATTTTCTAATCTAAGTAAATTATCTGTCGGTTGTTTTGGTTTCGAACGGCAAGAATATCCAAGATTTTTGATAAGAAAAACATTTTTTACTAAACGTAAATTAGATCCTACAAATTTTGCCTATAATTTGGATAATAATAATATTGATTCGGAAATATTGGATATCGATAATCTTTATCCATCTGGTGATCAAAAATGGTATGATGAATTTACAACAAAAAATTATTTTCATTCGAAAAATTTTACATTATCATTCGATTCTTTAATGAAATTACAATTAATTTTCCCATTAAGAACAATATTATTGGATGATGAAATATTGCCAAGATGTTTTGATTTTAATATAACAATCATATATGATAATCATGCACATGATGCAATGATAAAAGTTAATTTAAAAATTAATCGTCAAGCAAGATCATGTCATTATATTAATCAGGATGGAACATTACAACAACAATCAATTGGTACTGGTTTAAATCTTGGATCAAATATCGAGCTTATTATGGCCATAAATTATACGGTTATATTATTCTGTTCAATATCGACAATGCTTTGTATACGTTCATTATATCGTGGTCAATTATTACGTTTAGAAACGGAAAAATATTTCAATGAATCATCATTACCTGATGATAAAAAGAAATTATCATTTGAAGATAAAATGGAATTTATTGATATTGGTTTAATGATTATCTGTTTAAATGATTTTCTTATTATTTGTGGTAGTATAATGAAAATACGTATGGAATCATCCGATTCAATGGATTCAATTCTTTATACAAGTTGTTCATTATTTTTAGGTATTGGTAATCTTTTAGTTTGGCTGGGACTGTTACGTTATTTTGCATATTTTCAATCATATAATATTCTTATTGTAACATTGAAAAAATCAATACCAAATGTTTTAAGATTTTGTTTATGTGCATTTTTAGTTTATGGGTAAGTTTGTTGGTTGATTGTGGAAAGAAATTATTTTAATTTTTTTAAATTTCTTTACAGAGGATTTTGTTTTTGTGGTTGGGTTGTTTTGGGACCACATCATTTAAAATTTCGAACACTTAGCTCAACATTGGAATGTTTATTTTCACTAATGAACGGTGATGATATGTTTGCAACATTTTTCTCAACCGATGTTAGAAAATCAACACTTATCTGGTGGTTTAGTCGAATTTATCTTTACCTCTTTATATCATTATCAATATATGTGATAGTATCATTATTTATTGCCATAATACTTGATGCATATGAATCTGTACGTGATTCTTATAAAGAAATTGATTCATTATCAAAATCAGAATCATTGTTAAAAAAATTTATTGACGAATATCCATTAGAAAATTTTGATGGTGGTTTTCATAATAATTCTATTGTTGATCAAATTCAAAATTATTTTCGAATTTGTTTCGGCAGATCTTGATTTGTAATTTTTTTTTATCATTTATTGACTAAAATAAAAAAAAAATTAAATTTCGAATTTCTTTTTTCAAATACGTATTATACGAATGTTTTACTCCGTATTTCTTTCAATCAATTTCGAGAATTTTCAATTAAATTCGAAGTTAATTGAAACGCGTGTTAAATTCGATGATTAATATTTAACAAAAAACAAAAAAAATAATAATGAATTATCTTGATTATAAAATTGATCATCCATTGGTACCTGATTCAATTTTTTATATACCAAATTTTATCGAATCAGATGATGAACGAAAATTAATTGATCATATTAAACAAGCACCAAAACCTAAATGGCAATATCTTTCGAATCGTAGTTTACAAGTTTATGGTGGTTATCCAAATAAAAATGGAATGTTGGCTGAAGATTTACCACAGGTTTGTTTTTTTTTTGCTAAATATGTTCTTACTGAAACAAATTTCTATTGAATAGTGGCTACAAGTTTATGCAAATAAATTACAACAAATGAATATTTTCGATGGTAATCTACCAAATCAAGTATTGATCAATCGTTATGAACCTGGTCAAGGAATATTAGCGCATGAAGATGGACCATTATATTATCCAGTAGTGGCTACAATCAATACAGGATCACATACTGTTTTAAATTTTTATGAAAAATTATCCACATCCAATGAATGTTCACGAAAATATCGTTTCTCTTTATTATTATGGCCACGTAGTTTATCAATTTTAAAACAAGATGCTTATCAAAAATATCTACATGAAATCGAAGAAATTGATGAAGATATAATTCCTATCAATGATGATGATGATCAAACATTAACAGATAAAAAAATTGTTAATTTATATTTGATTGATAAATACAAATCAATGTTAGAAAATAATTGTTTACGAAGACAAACACGTTATTCATTAACAATACGTTTTGTTCCTAAATGTCATAAATTAAAATTGAATAAAATATTTTTAAAAAAATAATTATCATTATCATTATAAAAATTTTAATCCAAAACCATTATCAATGATTTATAAATATAAAAAAAATACAAACAAAAAACCAATAGAAAAATCAATTATTGTATTGGATTTGCTGGTAACGTTGAACCAGGAATAGGATCATGAACAGTTGTTGATAAAGTTGATGTCAAAAAATACATAATCAATGGCTGTAATATAGCAATAAACATAACCAAATAATATGCTGTACGAGGATTATCACCATATTGATGTTGATAGGATGATTGTTGACTTTGTTGAAGATTTGTACTTAATGCTCGAATCTATTTATAAAAACAAAATAAATAGAATGTTAGTTAATTCGAATGTTTATCCGACAATACTTACAAGAAAATATCCTAACGATAGTGAACAATATATAAATAATATAAGATAACCATTCCGTCCAAACATGATTGTCGCTAAAAGAAGTGCATCAATACTGTTGTTGTATAATATTTTTTTTTTTTTGTTTTCAATTAATTTTTGAAAAAATCAAATGATATGAGAATAATAATACTTACCAAACAAATTTATAACCACCGAATGCAACCATATGAAAGAAACCAAGTGCTGAACTTAGATTCATAACATATTTAGCAATCATAATTAATATAACTTCTAATAATAACCATGCCATAGCGCTTGAAGCATAAATTCCTAATTGTTCAGGTGCAAATTGTTTACGTAAACCAAGTATGTAACCAGAAACCAATATATAAGTTATAAACGCCATTGAAGGAATATATAGATCAGGTAAATTAGGTTCATCTCTTGGTGCTACGATTTCAGAATTGTATCGAATTGTCCAGTCCTTTATAATTTCAAACAAAAAAAAAAGAATTTCAATCAAACAAAAATGGTAAAAACTTCACAACAAACCTTATGTAAATATGGTGCAAATATGAGAAATAATTTTTTCACTGCATAATTCGTATCAACAGCAAAATATTGTTTGATATTGCCCATCCAACCTTTACTTTTATCGACCAATGATTGTGAATAAGCATCAATAGCAGCTGCAGTCATTGGATTCGATAATAATTGTTGACCAGCAGCCATTAAAAATTGTTGATTTGGAAACATTGGCTGTTGAGGAACTTGGTGTCCTGGCGAAGAAAATCCTGACATTGATGGTGAAACTGGTGTTTGTTGCCAAGATGATGCACTAGATATCGGCGGCGGTGGCTGAGGAGGTGATGAAACAAATCCATAATTATCACTTGGACTGTAAAATGAATTCATTTGATTATAACTATTGAAAGAATGTGTTGATGGTGGTACTGATGGTGGTGGTGGTGATGTTGTTGTTGGTGCTTGTTGTTGACCAAAATCATCCGAATCAACAGTAAAATAACTTTCGGTAAACATAGGTGTTGAAGTAGGAACATTACCGGTTGAAATATGACGACGAGATGGTCCTATAGGATTGTTGCATAATAGAGATTTTTACAATTTAAAAAATAAATAAATTCACAAACCTTGTCGATTCAAATCCATAATGAAAATTTTACAAAATTTGAAAATTAAAAATAACAAATTCAATGATTGTAATGTTTTTTTTATTCAAAAGAAGAAAAAAAAATCAAGACTCGTCATCAATTTTGCTGATACTATTTTTTTTGCATGAATTTTTTTTTTCCTTCGATACTCGATATTTATTGTCGAGAAAACTTTTTTTGCAGTTTGGATTTTTGGATGAAAAAAATTTCCTCGGAAAATTCTCAATTCAACGTTGTTAACAAATTTGTGATATTTTTTGGTTTCATTGTGCAAAAATGGCGGGATCATTTTTGTGACGAAAAATTCTATTCGTGTCATCAATTTTTTTTCTCTCTCGATTTTCTAATGAATTTTTTTGTTTTGTTTTCGATAATTAATTGATTGATAAATATGGGAATACAAGGATTATTACCGTTGATGAAAGGTGCAGAGATAAATATTTCACTTTCCAAACTTCAAGGTTTGTTGATTTGAAATTCTATGTTTTGGTTTTTGGTAAATATTCAAACGAAATTCCAAATAGATACGGTTGCTGCTATCGATACAAATGGTTGGATACATCGTGCTTGTTATAGTTGTGCTGATCGTATATTTATGGGTGAACCGACTGAAATGTTTATCTATTATTGTTTGAATTTTTGTAAAATTTTACAAAAACATCGTATAACACCTATACTTGTTTTTGATGGACAAAGTTTACCGGCAAAATCCGATACAAAATTAGCTCGACAAAAACGTAAACAAGAAAAACGTGAAGAAATTCAACAATTATTACGTACTGGTCGTGAACGTGAAGCTCGTTGGCTTATGCGACAATGTGTTGATGTTACATTTGAAATGTGTCGTCAAGTGATTGAATGTTGTCGTAAAGAAAATATTGATTGTTTAGTTGCACCATTTGAAGCTGATGCACAAATTACTTATTTGGTTAATAATAATCTGGCTGATTATGCAATCACTGAAGATTCAGATTTATTAGCATTTGGTTGTAAACGTGCATTATATAAATTAGATCGTGAAACGGAACGTGGTCGAATGGTTGATATAAGTCGTTTGGATAGATGTTTTAAAAATTTAGATTGGAAAAAATTTCAATTAATGTGTATTCTATCCGGTAAGTTGAACAAAACAAAAAAAAAACCTGAAATGTTTATCAAATTCTTAATCCGAATAAAGGTTGTGATTATATTTCCAATATACCGGGTGTTGGAATTGGACGTGCACGAAAATTTTTCGAAACACTTTGTGAAAATCCAACCGTAGAAAATATTCCGAAAATATTGGAAAAATTACCGATTGTTTTGAAAATGCAAAACAAAATCCACGTTACAAAAGATTATATTGAAGATTTTATTCGTGCATCGAATACATTTGATTATCAAATTGTTTATTCACCACAATTCGATCGATTAGTTTATTTAAATCCATTGCCGAAAAATGTTGATCCAAAAGAATTTGCTAATTATGGTGGACATTTTTTTCCTAATGGCAATGATCAATTAGAAAATAATTTAAAATTTGTTACCAATTATGTATTGGGAAATGTTTGTCCGAAAACTTTGACTATATTGGATTTATTCACACCTTACGATGATAATTCGACTATTTGGTATTCATCGGTATTTAATGAACGTATCAAATCACATATCTCATCCAATCATCCTAATCGTAAATTGATCACCGAACAAAATAATGAAGAAAAATTGATCTCAATTGATGAAAATGCAACCTTGAAAGTAGAATTGAAAAACAACAAAAAGCAAATTGATATTATTGAAATTATTGACGATAAACCTGAACCAAAAACCGAAACAAAACCAAAAACTATTGAAACAACATATCAACGTCGTCAATTAAGCCGAAATGTATTTCGTAAACGAACTTTTATCGATGATGGTATTATAAAGAAATCTAAATATTTTTCAGACGATCAAAATGGTGATAATGATTCAGACACTGATCTTCCAGAGACAAAAAAATCTCGTCAAGAATCTATTGAAGAATTGAATCAATCATTTTCATCGATTGAAGAAGAAGATATTCAAGCATTGAAATTGTTGAATAATTCTCAAATTGATGAATCTATTGCAATACGTCAATCATCTCAACGTTCCTATTCATTATCATCAACACAAACATCACAATCAACATCAAGATCTGATTCTCCCGCCGGATCACCAATTCCATCATCAGTAGATATTTTGTTCAACAATTCAATGACCAAATCGAATAAATGTACAGTATCGAAAAAACGTAACAGTCGTAAATCATCATCATTATCAACGAAAAATACTGCCAATGATATTCGTAAATTTTTTTCAAAAATTCCCTAGTGATTCAATATCTATTTATAACAAAATATTATTTCATTTCATTTTTTTTCCATTATAAGTTATTGATTGAATGAATTGTTGATAAAAATCGTCGAATAAAATAAAATTCCAATTGGAACCTTTTTTTTCAAATTGCGCCATCTGATGTTGAAAAATCTTTTCGTTCGAATTTCTTTTTCTTTTTTCACTCTTGGTGAATTCTTCTATTTTGATTATCAACATTTATAAATCATGATTGAATATCTTCAAACTGAAGATATTTGTTTGTGGCGTGAAATTCGAAAATTACCAGCAGAATTTTTAGCTAAAATTGAAAAATTTTTTATATTTGGTGATAGTTGTTCATCGGCATTATTGTTCACCAATGATTATCGTGTATTTGCCAGTGGTCAATGGACAAAAAATTCATCCGAACCGTTGGAAATTGAAAATCTTTGTGGTAAACAAATTTTCGATGCAATAGCTACTGATTTTAAATTATATTTGGTTATTCAAACGACAAACAATAACGATCCTGGCAATGTAATCAAAAATCTTTATTCAATATTGTACAGTCAAACTTATGATGAAATAAAACTTGAAATAGAAAATGTTCAAAAATATTATTGTTATAAAACAAAAATGTTGGCTTTAGATGATTCCAATAATGTATGGCATTCAAATCTTTTTGATCAACAACCAAAACATTATCAACCACCATTAATGGATAATGAAATAATTATCGATGTGGTTTGTTCATCAAATGTTTCATTATTGATGACTAATCGTAAACGAATTTTATTATGGACATCAACATCGATTCAACCAATTCAAATCAATTACAAACCAGATGATCAATCTACAAAGAATGAATCTATAAAATGTATAAAACAAATAATTACCTATAGTCACGATGAATTTCTAATCATCAACAATAATGATTATCTTTATCAAATTAATTTTAAGAAACAAGAAAATTCATCGAAAACATTTATAGCCAATGCTGTCGATTTAGATGATGGTAGAATTTTATATGTTGTTGGTTCCCCCCATGGTTATGTTTTAGTTCTTGATAATGGAAAATGTTGGGCATTTGATTGTTATGATTCAACAATGATTAAAACTGGTCATCATTGTCTCTCCGATGTTCATTGTCTTTATTTACATAATTCTACACCACGTATTACATGGTTGCCATCAAATTTACTACAAACATTAAATCAATTTGGTTCATTTAATAATTTCAAAGAATCGGATATAATTTTTGAAATACGTTTCAGTAATTATATAATAACAATGAATCGTCAAACATTGATAAATCATTTGGATTATTTTCGTAAAAAATTTCAAGACGAAAATGGTGAATGGCTGAATTTGGATTTTATTTTCCTTGACAAATATAGCTATGCTTCATGGTATGAATATTTTCGTTTTATTCATTGTGGCCAATTACGTTCATTATCCGTTTGGCCACAAGAAACATTAATCGAAATGTATGATATTGCAAACGAATTGAATGATAATCGATTTCGTCGATTAATACCCGAAAGAATTTATGATGAACAAATAATGATACCATCTGGATCGGTTAAAAGAAAAAAAAATTGAATGATTCATTTATTTATCGTTAAAATGCTCAAATAATGATCTCCATATTGTTTGGATTATGATGATAATTTTGTTGTTGTTGTTGTTGTTGTTTTTGTTGAAAACAATAAAAATAAAATATTAAAAATAATAATGGTAATGGATGAAAAATTACCATTATAAAAGCAACGGAAATGATTAATATTTTTTTCCATAATTTCATTTCGTCTTGGTGATTATCGGTAATTATTATGAAACGAATTTCTTCTTGATCATCATCATGACGATTGTTGTTTGTCATCAGAAGATTATCATCATTATTATTCAATGATAATGATAATGTTGAATTTTGTAAATTTGGACATGGATTTGTTAAATTTTCGTTCGATCGACATATCGATTGTATCGATATGATGAATGTTAGGAAAAAAATTTCGAATGTTTTCATTCGAATTCGAATAGCAACAACCAAACCAAAAAATGACACAAATAATCAGAATAATAATAAAACTAATATGGATAAATTTTTATTTAGCTTTTGTTTTTTTTTATTAAATTAAATTAAATTTTCACGAATTTTAGATTTTGGACTTCTATATTTTCCTGGTGACATTCTTGATTTAGTCATTCTCATATTACTTTTCATTTTCAAGTTACTTTTCATTTTCATATTACTTTTCATTTGTAATCTTGATGGTGACATATTGCTTCCCAATGTTGATGGTGATCTACGTTGTGATGATTTCATTGATAATTTTGATTTCATTGGTGATGAAAGTTTTGATTGAAGTTTGCTTTTAGGACTAAAACCATATTTAGATTTTACCGATTTCATTGCTCTCAATTGACTCATTTGTTTTGATTTTCCATTTAAACCAATCATTGATTTTGTTCTTATTTGTTTAGACATTTGAATTTTTGTTTTCATTAATGTTCTTTCATCATCATCATCATCTTCATCATCTTCATCATCTTCATTTTCACCACTACCACCAATACGTGATTTTAATATTTTTGCCCAACAATACCAACCCAAAAATACATACATTAAAGCCAATATTAATGATAATGATATCATTAATATTGTTGAACTTAAATCATTATTAGTTACAAATTCCATACCATTTATTGGTTGTGCTTCATGTGGACAAGAAATAAATTCTTCAATTGTTTGTTGTTGATATGGTTCTGATTTACTCATATTATATAATACTTTTTCAGGTATTTTATAAACATATCTTTCACCCATTAATATTAAATTATTTTTAGTAAAAAAACCAATTGTAACATCGATTGCTGAAAATTGTTTACCAGTACAATCACCATCCGGTATTGGATGTAAATATACATTATGTTCATTTTCAATACAAATATGTTGAAATACAATATTTTCTTTAAAAAATTTCCATATTTCTTCTTCATTTTTGGATTGTGAACGTAAACGTGCAATACCGATACTTGATTTACCTGTTGCACGATGATTACGCCAAACAAAATATTCAATTTGACCAGGACGATTGGATATAACAAAATCATCAATATCTTCATCAACCCATTGTGATATTGGTATTTTATAATCAATACTTTCATAAACAAGATTATCATCTAGCCAATAATTTAAGCTTGGCTGTGCCGATGGATCCATCGATATAAAACAAAGTGATGTTTTTGTCATTATTGTTAGAAAAAATGCCGAATGTATTTGATCATATTCATATAATAAATTAAAACGTTCATTAACATTTAATTGTGTATAAACGTTCATCATTGTTGATGGTGTAATTTGTTCTAAATGTAAATGTAAATTATTTTCATCAAATATTTGTTCAATTGGTGCATCATAAATAAATTTATCTTTTGTCATTATTATTAAATTTTCTTTACCATCCAAACCGATTGCTAATATATTTAACATTTCATATATTTGTGTATCACGTATACTTTCACAAAGGGTCTTTTTTTTGTAATTTTTGTTGGGAAAAAAATTATAGGAATTAATTGAATTTTGTTTGTAAAAAATTTTTTTTTACAACATTACCTTTGTATTGAATGTCATACAATTAATAAAATTATTACAAATTGTTATTATCAATATTGTAATAATCATAATAGACATGATAATGTTGTTGAAATTTTTTGTATTGTTTTGAATTTTCATTTTCAGCCAAAAAAATTTTCTTTTTTCTTCTTATTTTCTTTTGATTTTGATTCTGTACACTGCTGTCGGATGCTACTCAATAACGTTTAGGATTTGGAAAAAAAACTACACAACTAAAACCAAAACAAACAAAAAAAAAACTATGCAAATTATTTTAAAAAAATAAACATATTAATAAGTTTATAAGTAACATTTTCTTATTTAAATAATTCTAAATTTTTATTCTAATTTAATTTATTTTTTTTAAATCTAAAATTTTAAAAATTTAATCAAAAAAAAAAATTTAATTAATTTCAAAAATTTCAAATTTTTCGATTGTCGAGTGAGGTTAGGTTGATCATAATTTATGGTTGAGTGAGGTTAGGTTGATGACTATGACCATGATTTATGGTTGAGTGAGGTTAGGTTGATGACTATGACTATGACTGTGATTCATTGTTCAGTGAGGTTAGGTTGATGACCATGGCTAATAGTGCGAACAAATTCATTTTTCTGCTTTTATTCGAATTTTTCAATTTTTAAAAGTACACTCCAAAAATGACATTCTACACACGCTATTTGGAGAGTGTACTCAGTGATTTTTTTTTTGTTTTGTTGATGCTCTGAAGGAAGCTGTTGATCATTTCGTATTTTTTTTTGCTGAGTTTCATTTGCCGGATACGAAATAACGATGGCTTTATCCAGTTTAGGTGGTGATACCATTTTTGTTCCAAATCGAATTTCTAGTGCTGGAAATATTGTTCATGTTTCTTGTTCACAAATTAATCGATTAACAACTAAAGAAAATGGTTTGATAATGTTTCATCAACGAATTCATTCAATTATCACTATTGGTATTGTACAAAATATTCAAGAATTTTTCCGACGAAACATCTATACCATTGATGATTATACTGGTACTTCGATTGATGTTCATCTTTATAAAAATGATATTGAAGGTTTGTTTAATTTTTACAAATAATTTAACTTATTATCTTTAAAATCCAATCAAATCAGATGATGTTGGCTTTCCAATTCCCAATGTTTCTGTTAATAATTATATCGAAGTTATTGGTTTGGCACGTATGAATGAAAATAAATCATTTATTGTTGCTTTTCGTGTTCGAATGATTAAAAATCCGAATGAAATTACTAAACATTTTTTAAATGTAATACGTGAATCAATGCTATTGGAAAAACGTATGAATATTACAACAAAAACAATCAAACAACCTGATGAACAAAAACTAGATTCGATTGAATTTCCTGATTATGATCCAAATGATTTAAGTCAACGTGAACAAATTGTTTTTGAAATTATTAAAAAATATGGTAATGGAATGTTTGGCATATCAAGAGAAGATATACATAATCATTTAAATCATATGAATCCTATTGATATTGATAATAGTATTTCATTTTTATTAGCTGAATTACTTATTTTCAATACTATTGATAATCATACATTTAAATCATATGATTAAAATCAAAATAATTGTAACATAATTTTTGTAATTTTTTTTATATATCTAAACTTGTTTGTCGATAATAAACATCAGGATCGATCCATCCTAATTCAGGTGTTGGTGCTTGTAATGAATTTGAACGATATTTATTTCGTTGTTCACTTCGAATAAAATATTGATTTATGGTTGATTCAGGATTAATTGCTTTCAGTACAGTTTCGAAAAGTTTCGGTGTTTTTGGACGTTCTTTTACAATTGGTTCAACAGAAATTTGTTCAACAACTTGAATATCGGCTATTTCGGACAGTTTTTCTGGTTGATTATCAATATTCAATGTTTTGGATGATGATTTTTGTTGTTGTTTTCGACGTAAAATTCTTTGTACTTTACGTTTTAAAACATTTTCATATTCCGGATAATAACGTAATGTTTCCCAAAGATCTTGTTTTTTCAATGCAAACAATTGTGAATAACCACATGAACGAACATCAGCTGTACGTTTTGTTTGACCATGTAGATTAAGTATGGCAATTTCACCGAATACCGAACCTTCACCAAGTGTTACCAATAATTTTCTAGTTTCTGGATCAAATACTTGTATAGTACCTTTATTAACAATATACATTTCATGACCAACATCACCTTTCCGACAAATATAATCACCTGGAAGAAATAAAATTGGCTGTAATTTCAATACTAAATCTCTTAATACACTACGATTAATATTTTTAAATAAATCAACACGACTTAATGTATGTGAATGAATACATAATGTCAGATCTGTACGCATTTTCAATGGTAATACACGTATAATTTCTGTTTCATTTAATGTTTTCTGTAAATCCCAGGTAAATTTATACCAAAATCGTACACGTTTTTGTAGTTTGTTTGGTACGGATAATCTTGTCATATGTGCAGCAATTTTATTCAATGCATCAATATAATAATTTTGATTACGTGATGCATGTGCAACAATATCACGAATCTGACCGATAACCATTGCAAATACAAATACACCAAGCAACCATGCAATTAGCATATAAATTCTTTCGAATTCGGTTGTCGGTTTTGGAAGTCGACCACCGATCGATGTTGTTGTACGGAAGGCAAAATAAAAACATCGAAGATATGGATTTCCTAGAATAAAGACTTATCATTGAAAAACAAAGGGAAAAACAAAAACTCGAAACAAACCTTTATTATTATAAGTCCAAGGCGTACGGCCAAAACCAATCCATTCGGAAACACGATAATAAAGACATGCACCCAAATGTATAATATATAATTCATAGATTAATGTATGAATTATACGAAAAAGATATGGATTTCTTGTTGCTTTATCAATACGTTCAAAAAATTCCCAAAAATCAATAATACGAATCAGACGATTCAATCGCATTATAAGACTTGTATTGCCACCAGAATTCCATGAAACTAATATCGTAATCCAATCGATTGGTATCAGTGATGGAAAATCAATCAATCCGAATCTTTTGGAATGAAAATAATTTCGATGAGTACGGCCAATTTCATCGATCCAATTACCATTTTCAAGAAATTTCAATCTTGGTTTAAACCAACAACAATCGATTAAATAGATTAAATCGGCTAAAATTTTTACAATTATTGATCGCCATTGTTCATTAGGATTATCTGGGAATACTAAATTATATGGAATCATCAGAGCATTATAGAAAAATGTAAACGAAACAATCAATAACCAAATAATGTAGATAAAACTTTGTGGTTCATAAACCGTTGAATATTTTAAACGTTGCCAAAAATTTTTATCAATTTTCAATTCATCATTATCATTATTTTTCCATTCATCACCAAACATTGATTCGAATAAAGCTGCAGATAATTTTCTATCATCATTCGTTTCATCATTCAAACTATCCGAATCATCATCATCATCCGATTTTGTTAGTTCATTTTTAGCATTCATTTCTTCGAATGTACGACGAACAAAATCACCACGATCATTAAATGCTTTGACTAGATGACGCATTCTTTCCGTTATCCATGTTGCATTTTGTATAAAATCTTTTGATTTATCATTTCGTCGACTACTACTATCATCACAACCACTATTAACAATTACAGGAATGGATGATCCTTTTTCAGGTAAAACCGAATCAATAATTTCAAATAAAAAATTTTGAACCAAGAACTTACTTTCAATATTTTGAAAAATTGAAATAGCATCATCATCATCACCATTGCCTGTTTCATAAGAATCATTTTTTTTCATCATCGATGATGATGATAAATAATAATGATGTTCATCTTCCATCGATACAGTTGTACGTTGTTTAGTTAATTTCAGATTCGATCGTCTTTTGTTCGTTGAATCGATTTGTTTGATTAATGGAGGTTTTGGCGATTCGCCAACCGATTGATTTTTATTCGAAATGTTTATCAAATTATTCGGTATCATATCCATTGACCAACGATATGATGGTGTTGAATAAATTTCAAAATAACGTTTTGCATCTTCAATTTCATCTTTATGTTTATCCGATGATGATGATGTGGATCGAACATTTGAAACAGTAATACTTTCATCATTATTATTATCATCTGATTGATATTCAGAATTTTTGGATAAATTTTGTTTTTGAAATTTTCTTTGTTTAAGATTTGGTGTTGATAATATTAAAACATCATCTGGATCATTATTATTTGGATTAAATCGATTGATTTTAGAATTGAATTCAGAATCATCAAAATCCATATTATCATTGTTATCTTGCTCAATCAACCGAGCAGCAGCATCAGCATCAGATTTGTCAAAATTTGAAACAAATTTCTTCGTAAACAATGATTCAACTTCATCATCATCGGTTGAATTTATTTCGGATTTTATGATTTCGGATTCCATTTTCAGTTATCATTCGCGAATGATTATCGATAATAAAATGATGATTAAAACATTCAATTCATCACGAGAAAGCTTTTCGGTTTCCACCAAACTATCGATTCTATTTAGAATTTGGTGATTACTTTATTGGTTTGTAACCGAAAAAATGTTCATTATTATTGTTTCAGGTTTCTCATTTCACATTTAATGTAGTGGTAAATTACCCCAAACAAACAACCGACAGAACGACCGACACCAGTTGTCATGGTTGTTTGTTTTTTTAATCCGGGTGAAAGAAAAGAAAACGAAACGACAGAAAAAAAAACTAATTTAATTTAGCCCATCATTGTCATTGTCATCACGATAATAATGAAAATGAAAATGAAAATGACTACGGTAGATTTAATTGACAATCGCCTTAATAAACAAACACAGCAGAGAGACGTTTGTTTTGTTTTGTTGTTGATCCCTTTTCAATCATGGGACAACAGGTCTTGTCAAACAGCAAAACAGCAATTTCCCTGAGTTCTTTCAAATAATAATTTCCTATGTAAACCAAGCCAAGAGAACATAGAAATTGATATTTTTATTTAATATCATTGACATTGTCAATTCGAACCGCGGTTCGAATCCCAAAATGAAATGAGGATAACGATAAACAAAGATTGGCTCACTCGCCTTTTTTTGTTAACCTTGTCCAAATCCAAAATCAAATAAAAGTTTGATTTGAATCACGAATTTCACTTTCATTTTATCCATCATTTCAAGTTTTGAATTTCAAAACTTAAAATTACCAAAAAAGAAGAAAATTATTCTTTTCAATGGAAAAAAACAAACATAATTCTCCATCCGGTTTTTGGACAAATATCAATGGTGTGTGTGTGTATGTAAAACACATATAACATGCTAATTTATCACATATAGAGATCCAATACATTTCGTCTTTTTTTTTGTTGTTGATACAATTCATTTGCCAAAGGATTTCCTGCTTTTGGTCATCATTCTATATAATGTTATGATCATTATGATTCTGGTATGCGTGTGAGCCAGAATTGCTGTTGTTGTTGTTGTTGGTAGAGGCACATTTTGCTACTACGTTTCAAAACTTTGTTTTTTCCCGTTTTTGGATCGACCAAATCATCATTATTTACATCAATTATTGATTAAAAAAAGAAAGAAAATATTCTGGATTTTTATAGAAAAAAAAGAATCAAACTTTTTTTCCAAAGATTTCCAAAGATTTTCCGAATAAAAATTTTTATCCAGAATTTTGGCTTTTACATCGATACGAACATCGATTGGAAATAAAAATTATTCTCGATTTCTATCCATATGGTTTTCAAGGTTGGTTGGAATACAAAAATCATTTTTATCAGAAATTTTTCAATTTCTTTCCGAAATTAGATATGGGAAATACCGACACAAAATTATCATATCGTCAAGCTGTTATTAATCTAACAACACGATCACAGCCAATCGAACCGGATGATGAATTTTGGTCACAATTTTGGCATGAAAATCATATCGATTCGATTGGTGATGTATTTGCATTATTAACTGCTCAAGAAATACGTCAATTACGTGATGAATCACCATCAAATCTATCAACATTATGTTATAAAGCTGTTGAACAATTAGTTAGAGTTACTGATACATTATGTAATACAGCTAGTCAACATCGTACAGTGCTTACTTGTTCGGCCTTATTGACAAGAATACTTCCATATCTTTTTGAAGATTCAGAATGGCGACAATTTTTTTGGACACAATTTCCAACAACACAAGAATCTATTGATGAAAATAATTTATTATCATCAACATCATCATATCATCATCAACGTAATCGGCCTTTAAAATCAGATTTATCTGGATGTGAAATTCTTAATCAACAAATTCCATTATCACATTCATTATTATTAGCAATTGCAGATTTATTATTTTGTCCAGATTTTACTGTTGCACCATTAGATTCGAAAGGTAATCGTTTCGGTGCACCGGATACACCACCCGAAGATTTACAATCAATCGATAGTTGTGAATATATTTGGGAAGCAGGTGTTGGTTGTTCAATTGCATCACCATCATCAACAACATATGATAATCATCGTACACAATTATTACGATTATTATTAACATGTTTTTCCGAATCAATGTATTGTTCGGCTGTACATGTTGGCCATCAACCAAATCGTTGGATACAATTTTTTACATCAATTGAAAATCGTCATGCATTACCATTATTTACATCATTATTGAATACAGTTTTTGCATATAATCCAAATAATTTTTTACCATTTAATCATCTAATATTTCAAGATTCAAAAGAACCATTAGTTGAAGTTTCATTACAAATATTGATTGTTATTTTGGATCATGATTTTTCCACACCAATATCATCATCAATTGAAGAAGCAAAAAAATCATCACCACTTGTTTCATCACAAGATAATCTATTTATTAATTATATAAGTCGTATACATCGTGAAGATGATTTTGAATTTATTTTGAAAGGTTTTACAAAACTTTTAAATAATCCATTACAACAATCATATCTACCAAATTCAATGAAAAAAATTAAATTTCATCAAGAATTATTGGTTTTATTTTGGAAAATATGTGATTATAATAAAAAATTTATGTATTATGTTCTGAAAACATGCGATGTATTGAAAATTTTAGTACCAATACTATATCATTTGAATGATGCTCGTGCAGATCGATCACGTGTTGGCCTGGTTCATATTGGTGTTTTTATCATACTGTTATTAAGTGGTGAACGTAATTTTGGTGTACGTTTAAATCGTCCATATCAAGCAATTGCACCAATGGATTTACCAATATTTTCCGGTACACATGCTGATCTTCTGGTGATTGTATTTCATAAATTAATCACAACTGGTCATCAACGTTTACAACCATTATTTGATTGTTTACTTACCATACTAGTGAATGTTAGTCCTTATCTAAAAACATTATCAATGGTTGCATCGGCAAAAATTCTTCATCTACTTGAAGCATTTTCCACTCCATGGTTTCTGTTCAGTAATCCAACTAATCATCATTTAGTATTTTTTTTATTAGAAATATTTAATAATATTATACAATATCAATTTGATGGTAATTCAAATTTAATCTATACAATTATACGTAAACGAAATGTATTTCATACATTAAGTAATTTACCAACTGATTATGGAACCATTCAACGATCATTAAATCAGGCAAAATTACAAACATTTAATTTGGCAACAGCAACAACAACCACCACTAATCCATCAACAGGACAAATGAAACGATTCAATAGACAACAATCAAATAAATCGATTAAAAATCAACAAGGAAGACCATTATCATTGATAGAATCATCATCATCATCAATAAATCGATCATCAGTAATTGATTATGATGATGATATAACACATGCCACACATTCACATCCATCAACACCAATTGATTGTAATAATGAAAATCGTGGTATATCATCATCGACACATCCAATTACGACAATGACATCATCATCATCACCAGTTGATCAATTAATGACTGCTAATGAACAATCAAATTGTTCACCAACACCATCATTAATGTCAACATCAACCAATCAAATGATGAATATAACATTAGCTGCTGTACCTAAATTGGAAAAAATGACTGAAAGAACACATCCTAATCCAAAAATAGATCAAGAAGATAATGAAGATCATGAACAATCAACAGCAGCAGCAGCATCAAATCGAACAAATTCACGAAGACCAAAATCAATGTCAAGGCAATCATCGACAGCATCGGATGATCATTCATCGGCCGGTTCATCATCGAGAGGATCAAAAGAACAGAAAAATATTGCACAAGATATTGGAAATTGGCATCCAACAACCGAATGGATTATTTCATGGAAACAAAAATTACCATTACAAACAATTATGCGAATGTTACAGGTATGTTGAGTGAATTTTTTTGGAAGAAAAGATTAACCCTTTTTCCTTTAATTTTTCCATTAGGTTTTAGTACCACAAGTAGAAAAAATGTGTCTGGATAAAGGAATAACCGATGAAAATGAAATATTAAAATTTCTACAACATGGTACATTAGTAGGATTGTTACCTGTTCCACATCCAATTTTAATACGAAAATATCAAACAAATATCGGTACAACAATATGGTTTCGAACATATATGTGGGGAATTATTTATTTAAGAAATAGTGATCCACCAATATGGTATGATACGGAAGTACGTTTGTTTGAAATACAGAAAAGTTGAACAACAAGCAACAAACGACAAATCTTAATTTTTTCTTGTTTGTTTTGAATTTGTTTTTTTTCAATTATTTAATATGATTATCGAGTGACTCGTTTTATTGATTTCTTTTAAAAAAAATATGAAAATAAAATTGAATTTTTTTTGTTGAAAAATTCAAATTTGCTTACATGCTATATGAATAAACTTTGCTTGTTTGATCACGTGATTCTCATGCATGTGATTTTTTTTTTGTGATTCTTTTATAAAAATTTTCAAGATTCCGTTTTTTGTCATTTACCATGAATGATTCTGTAGTAATTTTAGACGATGAAAATCCTTCGACATCATCACCATCCGGTAACCAAAGTTTTCATGTTCAAAAAATTCGTAAACGAAAACATGACGACGATAGCGGTGGACAAAAATTGAATAATAAAAAATCAATAAAACGATTCAATTATCAATTTACACCATGGTCACAAATCGATGAACTTATATCGGCACGTTTTTTCATTTATGATTCAATCTACCTTAGCAATACTAACAATGATAATTCATTTGAAATTGAATTCAATCAAGAAAATCAAATTTATAGCCGTAAATTTAATCTAGATTCAAAAGAACCACATGTAATTTTTGAACATTTACAATTAGCACGTGATTGTATTTGTGATTGGGAACAACGATGTACAAATTTACCAAACAGATCGGTAAATTTTATTATGCAACATTTAAAATCCATTGAATCAATGGTAAATATTTTGCTGGAAGAATTTCAATTGGAAATTGTTCAGAATAATATTGCTGGACATTCAAATTCTTCTATACTTTATAATCTTTATTCGATTGGTGTTATAAATTTTTGTAGTGTTTTAGCAACTTATTCGGATGAAATTAATAGTATACGTTGTTTGGCTAAAAATCTTAAATGTCCATTATGGATTGTACAATGTCGTCATGATTTGGCACATCCATGTTCGAATCCACCGTCAATGAAAACACTGAAAAATGCCATAACATTTGGCCTTCGATGGATGGATAATTATTTTTGGTCTTCAAACATTCACAATGAAATGCAATTTCGATCGATTGGTCCATTTCCAGTGTCGGATTATAATCGACCACAATATCTTCAATATCAAAATATGGAAAGAGAAAAAATTTATAATGATTGTTGGAATATTGTTCTTTCACCACAATGTACAACAAAACGTTCAAAAAATCTATTGAAACCAATCGAATGTTATATGAATCATAATCCAAATTCATTTATCAATATTGTTGTACAGATTTTAATTTCGGATGTATCGAAAATTTCCGAACAAATACGTGATACAAATTCATTTCGACCATTATTACTTAGACGTTGTAGTCGTTTATTTCATATAATATTTTCAAATGAACCTGAACATATGCTACTACTTTTATTGAATTTAATCATTGATTCAATATCAGATTATCAACAATTAGAACATCGAAATCAATCATCATCATCGTGTGTCCAAATTGGCTGTTTATGGCTTGAACAGATTTTCAAGATGATCGTATTGCCTGCAGAACAGAAACAAACTTCATTTGAAAAAAGTTTTCTCGCATTACCTGATACGAAAATTCTATTGTATGAAAATCAATTTTCATGGTATCGTTTATTTTATAAATTAATAAAATTATCACCAAATCAAATTTTAATGAGAATTGTAAAAATTTTCTATGAAAAATTATTCAATTATGAACATGATGAATATATAATATCATGGCAAAAATATCAACAAATTTTAAAATTAATGAAAATAACGATTGGTAATGACGAAATCAAAAATCAAAAGTCACAATCTCAAAATAATGATGATAATATTTTTACTGTTGATCAATTGAAAAGACAAATTGTTTCGAAAAATCATTCAATTTTGCCATCAACCGAAACAAATCCCGATTGGAATCGAGTATTTATTGGGGCTTGTTTGAATTTTTAAAACAGACATGCGCTATTCGAATATCTTGGATAAGATTCGAATAGAATGGATCGATCCTGGATGACTCATCACTGATATTCAATTTTTGTAATTTTTTCTTTGGTTCCATTCTTTTATTTCGAAATGTAAATATCTTTTTTATAAAAAAAAACGAAACGAAAATAATAATAAAAATTGATTGTTTAATCAACGGGTTGAATTTTTTTTTTTTTTTGAATCATTCATCCATGACAATGTCAATTGTCTTTTTTTTTTTTTTATTTTCATTACTGTATGTAAAAGAT